TACAAGCACTATATGACACACATAATAGGGTCAAAGTACCCCTTCTACACCAAGGTAGATATAGGAACAGGAAAGGGTGGACAACAACTAATGTGTTGTGCGTTTGTGGGCATGACATGAAATTTATCTACGTATTTCCCAGGTGGGAGGGGTCTGCCACTGATTCAAGGGTATTGTGAGATGCAATCACAAGACAAAATGGGTTGAAGGTGGAACGTGGTAAGGTGACAAAATTTGTTTTTACTCATTTGGTTACTTGGTAAGTTTCTAGAAGATTTTAGATTTATTCAATTATGTGCCCATGTAAGTACATATTATCTTGTGGATGCTGGGTACATAAATGGAGAAAGTTTTTTTGGCTCCATTTTGTGGCCAGTGATACCACTTGCAGGAGTTTGCCGACGATGCTGTAGCTCCTAGAAACACGCATTAGTATTTCAATTTGAGGCATGTAACAGTGAGGAATGTCATAGAAAGGTGTTTTGTGCTACTTAAAATGCAATGGGCTATCCTTAAAATAGCGTGTTTTTACCCGATACCAACGCACAACAAAATCATCGTTGCTTGTTGCTTACTACATAATCTTATTAGGAACGAGATGGAATATGAATCGGTGGAGGAAGAGTTGGATGACCATCCGTTGGAAGATGAGAATGTGAATGATAATGACTTAATCATAGCGTTGAATCTTCTCATGGTTGGACTGCATGACGTGATCAACTAGTGACTGACATCTACAATGAATAGAGGTGTAATAAGGTAGCTTGATGTATGTCTGTAGATTTAAAGATTGTGGAATGTTGTTACTGAATTCCTTTTGCCTATTGTTTTTGTTTTGTTAAGTTTTATTTCATGCAAGTAATGATATTAGTGGATCATTTATGTGTATGTCAATTGGCTTGAAGTTTTTTGAATTAAATATTTTTTTGTGAAAGTTAAGTAAACATTAGGCCTACATGTGGATTCAACGCTTTTTGTAGTGATGACATGACAAGTGTTGGGAGTTCACAGTTTAGGGGAAGTTCCAAGTTTGATAAGGGACCGCGATGAATGTGGACAACGTTCGAAGAATCTTTCCTTTTAAATATGTTAAAGACATTTGCAATCAGGGCTGAAAAACACAAAATGGGGCATTCAAATCAGACTATTTGCACCACTTAGAGAAGGATTTATTAGATGCACTTGGAGCATTTTGGAAATATACCATCAGTAAGATAATATCTCATTTGTATAATCATTTCTATTGATTGAGAAATTGACTGGAGAAGTCCGACCTTCTAAACGGAGAGCAAACACAGAAGAGCGTTCTAGTACGTTGATATCATTATGAGATCCAGGTAACCCAAAAAAGGCATACCAAATCCAGAGATCATATGAAACCACTGTTTCCAAAATAATTGTTGGTTCATGGACGTGACCAAAATACATACATTTCCATGTTGTTGGACAATTCTTTTATTTCCAATGCAAACAATCAATGCTAACAATGTCATCGTTGTTTGGTGACCTGAGGTATTCATCGAAAAAAATTGCTACTACCGCCCTCACAAATCTTTTCAAACTTTCTATTATGGTGCTTTTGTCAATCCTCACATAATCATCAACAGTATTTGTTGCAACTCCATAAGCAAACATCCTTATGGCGACTGTCATCTTTTGAAGGAAAGACAAACCAGTAATTCTAGCAGCATCTTTTTTTTTGAAAAAAATATGGATCATAATCTTCCACCATGGATAAAATACGAAGGAAAAGAGCTTGATTCATTCGAAACATTCTTCTAAATAAATTTGGGGGATAGATAGGCGGGTCAACAAAATAATCACGATACAGTCTCTCGTGCTCTTGAACTCAATTACGAAAAATAACTGAATGACCTTGATTGGAACCACGACGTACACCAAATCTTTCCTCGGTATTATGTTTGTACATTTCGATAGCACAAATTATTACCATCTCTAATTCATCATCGGAGTCAAAATCGTTAAGAATTATCTTCATTGCAGGATGACGAGTCATAACATAAACAAAAAGAAGAGTGCAAGATGGCGAGTCATAACATAAACACAAAGAAGAGTGCAATGGCAATAAATAGATTTGAGGTGTATGACAATGAGAGATGGAAGAACCTATTTATACATATTAAAAAATATGACCGTTGTAAATATGACCATTGAAAAATTCAAATTTTAAAATTTTGAATTTTGTGGCCATTATAAATATGACCATTATTAATAAAATCAAAATTTTAAAATTTTGATGACGTTGCGTAATACGTCAGCATGTGATGTCATCAATAAGGTGATGACATGACATATTATATAGTATTTTAGATTTTAATAATTAATAATTAGTTAAAGTTAGTTGAAGTGATTAGCTAAAATAGATAATATGGTTTGAGTGAATTTGAAAAAGTGGTTAATTAAAGTAGATTGTGTAATAAAAAAATATATTTTTGCTAGCTAGTTTACATAGCCTCCTTGGAGTTGCTCTAATAGCATCAGAGGAGTTATTTTTGAGTTAGTACGCAAGAAGTAGGAATGTCAAACGTGTCGGGTTAAACGGTTACGTGCCGAGTTAAACAGGTGACGGGTGAAAAACATATAATCCCGTACACGATACGTTTAATAAACAGGTAAATAATCTCAATACGAACACGACTCATTTAATAAATAGGTAACATGATATGACTCGTTTAATCCATTTAATTTTAAAAAAATTATATTAATAAATTTTAATACTCCACTTTTTTTAATTGTCAATTGCACTTATCTCAAAAAAAAGAAATTTTTAGTCAAATCTCATGAAAATAAGACTTGAAGGCTTAAAAAAAAAACAAGAGTCTATTGCTTTTTATATACAACTCAACCCTCCTCATCTCCCCTCATTTTTCAATGTGGGACAAAAACAAAAGGCATTGGTTTGTCTTAGTCTTTGAAGTGTTCCTCATCTCTTCTCTTTTGTCTTTGAACTACTATTTTACTTTCTTTTTTTTTATTGATTTCTTTACTTCTTTTTTTCTTGCTAATTTTTAAACATAATTATTAATTTATTATTATATTAGTTTTATTTAACACAGGTAAACATGTAATAAACAATTTGACAAGTCTCACCCGAACACGACCTGTTTATTAAAAGTGTTTGGCATGTCAAACTGTTTATCACCCAAATCCGTTAAAATTTCACCTAAATCCGCTTAATTCGTATCGATTAATCATGTTGTATCGAATTTTGACAGCCCTATCAAGGAGCATACTAGTAGAGTTTCTTCTTTATGTGGAATAAAAAAACTCATAAATATTCAATTCAATGTCATATTATAGAAAATCTTAATATAACAAATATACTAAGCATTTAGTTATAAATCAATAACAACTCATATTATTTGAGAAATACTATTGAAGGTTGTATATGATGGGTGAACACAATATATTTGGACAACATTTTATACATATAGGTATTTAGTAAAGAATTTTGAGGGTAGAAACATGTAGGGCGGAGAGTCAGGATTTCCTCACGAAGAGGACTAAACAGTGGTATAACAAGATATTTTTATTCAATGTAGATCATTCAATTAGATCGTTAATGTTATAACATTCATATGTATAGAAATATATAAGAATCAATCTCACACGATATAGTATAATTATTATTTTCAATAAAATGAATAAAGTTAATCGAAACTAGTTAAATTATTAGATGTAAAAATCAAATTAATTGCACAATTAATAATTCAAAATAGTCTAAAAATACAAATTTATATAGTACAAAAATATAATGATTTATGTAAATTGTCATAATTTTAATAGTTAATGGTTCAATGTGGTCTAGAAGACTAGCAATGCACTAAGTGCGTTGTACGTGAATGATTATACATAAAAATTAATAACATATATTAAGTATATGCGTATCTAAATTAAATATCATTTAAAATTTATCAAACTTAATTTTTAATTACTCATATTCTATTATAAAATTATGAAAACTTTGTTTATTCTCAAAATTCTTTGTTCTATATATATATATATATATATATATATATATATATATAAAAGAAATAGCTAAAATAAAAGTAATTGTCAATATACTAATCACATTAGAACCTTATTATAATTAAGAATTAGTTAGGTCAATTGAAATAAGATTTAATATAATACTTTATAATATATATATATATATAAAATCAAGCATATTACAATTTAAAAAAATTTAATTTTTATTTAAAAATACACTACAATATCTATTTTTATATAAAATCTTAGTACAACTTAGTAAATTTATTGTGATTGGAAAATTATACAATTATTTTTAGTTAGTGGATGTATTTTCCATCCTTGTGGGAATTTTTTTTTTTTGCCCTTTCTTTTAGAGAAATGGGAGGAAAGATCTTTTATTATTTTGTTTGACATGAAAAAGAAAATAATTGTTTATACACTACCATAAATGCCTTTCTTTAGTGCAAGTATTCATTCTGCATGGACTCCACCAAACGGACCATTACTCCATTTCATTCCATTTTTTCTCTGAGTGATTCAAATTGGTGGCCGGAGTGGATTACTTTTCCACCCTATTTTCTATTCCCTCTCATTTTACTTTCTCAACCAAACGACGAAAAACCTCTCATTTTCTTTTTTAATTTTCATCCACCCATTTTCCATCCACTTACTTTTCTTCAAACTAAACACACTACTACATCAACCTACTTTTCTTCAAACTAAACACACTACTACATCAACCGAGGCTGGGTTTGAATGGTGCTTAAGCATGTCTAACCCGAATCTAGTTGTTATTGTAAATTTTAGTGATTATTTGTTAACTCTAATCCGACTTTTTTATTTAAGGGTTAATTACAAAATATTTCCTTTAAGTTTGGGTTATGTTGCAATCGATTCCCTCAGATTTCAAATTCGACAATTTACCCTCTTAAAATTTTTTTAGATTTAAATTAACTGAAAGAGTGGATGAAAAATACGAAATTCCTAAAATACCACAACATCTAATTCTATTTTCTATCTCCTCTTTGAAGCCAACCCATTTCCCCAGTTCCGGTGAGGCCTCCAACTCCCTTCCCGTACTTCGACGGCGTTCCCAACCCCCTACCTCTTGCTATGGCAATCACCCAAACCCCACCCCCTGCTCCAGTGATGCCCCCCCAAAATCCCTTTCCCCTGCTCCAATGGTGGTGCCTCCAATCCCGACCTCTTACTCCGGCAGTCACCCGACCCTCGCCCCCTGCTCCAACGATGCCCCCAAATCCATTTCCCCTGTTTCAGTGGTGGTGCCCCCAACCCCCGCCTCTTGCTCCAGCAGTCCCCCACCCCCCTGCTCTAGCGATGCCCCCTAAAATTCTCTTACTCCAGCGGTGGCGCCCCTAACCCCCTCCTCTTGCTTCGGCAGTCTCCTACCTCATACCCAATGCTGGTAGCACCCCAAAACCCACCTCCACCAGCCTCTTCCATACTAGCACAAGCAAACTCTCAAGCCCCACTTCACAGCAACCATTGGATCGATCCAGTCAACCATGGCATAACAACCAATGGATCTAGGTGTGTGTGTGTAAGTCTATATATATATATATACGAATCAGAGAAAGTTGGGTTTCACCCCTCTTATATATATACAAATCAGAGGAGGGAGTTTGGTTTCACCAAAAGAGGGAAAGCAGTTCGGTCGTGATATATATATATATATATATATATATATATATATATATATATATATATATATATATACGAATCAGAGGAGGGAGTTAAGTTTCACCAGGGAAGCAATTTCAGTTGTTCGAGCATGGTGGGTGGAGTTGGGTTAGGGTTGAATTGGATTTCGCCGGTGGAGTTGGGTTTCGCCGGTGCAAATTAAGGTTGAATTGGATTTTATTTTATTTTTTTCAAAACAAAAGATTGAGATATGGGTAGTTTTGTACTTTTGATCAATTTTAGATAATTTTTATATCAAATTTCTGTCATTTTTAACGGTGTCAACTTCCGGAGGACTTAATTAAAAAATATTCTAGGGACAAATTGTCGAATTTAAAACTTGAGTGAGTTGATTGCAACATGACCCAAACTTGGAGGGGTATTTTATAATTAACCCTTTAATTAATGTTATAATTGTATCTTATAATAATCCGACCAATATGTTAATTGTGTTATGTTTGAACAAAATATTTAATTGGAATCTCTTCCGTCTCAATTGAATATCCAGTTGGTGTAAATGCTTGCAAAGTTAACCAAAAATTCGGTGATTATAAAAGTGTTTTTAAACTATTAAATCTAGCATAAAAATCACAAACAAATACTATTTTTTGTATTATAAAAACCAAAATTTTCTCTTGGAAAATCAAATTTAAATTTGATATTAGCCTAATCTATTTGTTGTTTGCAGTAATAAATTATTTTAATTTTGAATTCATATAAAAATTTTGAAAATGCTACAATATCGAAATTTTCGGTACTTTACCACTATATACACTTTTTTAGAACTTTTGTATAATATGTAGGAGTCATTTACGACTATTACCATTTTTACAATCGATCCTAAATATTTACAATTGAAACTTCTAAAAAATTTTAACTTGATTTCCAAAAAATTATAAATAATCCCATATTTTTTATTTTTTATAAATCAATCATAACACTTTAAGATTGACTGTAATATTTTTAATTGTAACTGGACCCAACAACTCATATAATCATCCAAAAAATTATGAACTCCATTTTGATATCCAAATCAAATTCAAAAATTTAAGAATGTACTATAAATTTAGAAATCTTAAATTTAATATTTGAAAACTTTTTAAAGATCAGGCAATGAATAATTTAGGCCATATTTACTTTGTGTATAAAAAAATAATATATAAAAATTATTTTTGAGAAAAATTTTTAAAAATTATTTTTTGTGTCGGAGAACTTGTTTAGTTATATGATTCTAAAAACAGTTATACATAATAGAAATCAATAAAACTTATTTAAACAGTAATTTAAAAAATAATAAAAATAAAAATGTGATGGTAGTGGAAGTGAAAGTGTGAGGGTGACGGTGATAGCAGTGATAGTGGTGACAGTTGTGCTAGAAGTACAGTGGCGACCATTGCGATGGAATTATCGCGGTGGCACGGAGAAAGTGGTTGAAATATGGTAATAGTAATGTTTTCTAAATTTTAAAAAATTATTTTTAAAAATATAAAAAATAACTCTAACTTGTTCTTTAAATTTATTAATTTTTTTTTCAGTTTTTAAAAAATGAAAACAAAAAATCAAACAATTTTTTTGGTAAAAATAATTTTTGAAATACAAATTAAATAAGATCTTATTTTTTTATAAATTTTTTAATCTATATTATAAAAAAAATTAATGGAGATGAACGTAAATCTTTCCTAAATCATTCCCTTACTATAATAACAAACAAAAAAGCGAAGAAGAGATAAAGGAAGCAAGGCGTGAATTGTCAACGTCAGTGACATAAATACCAGCTGGTCCCGTCAATCTACTTGTGGGGTCCCACCTCTGTTTCTGTTTCCCACCACCTGCTCTTCTGACAATCTTCAGATGTTTTGATTCTTTTCTTTTCCCCAAGTTTTTCTTGTGGGATGAAAAACACTATTGTACCCTTTTTCTTTTTCTTTTTCTTTTTGCTGTTTTTTTTATATCATATTAAAAAATATATAATTTTTTTACAAAAAATAAATATTATCAAAAAAAAATTGTCTTTTTTGCCATTTTAATATTTTAATTTGTCATTTCAACTTTTTATGATGTTTATTTTATTAATAATCTCTGCAAAATACTTTCTTTTTTTAAATCCATTCAAATATTTAGAGGAAAAAGTTGCATGATGAATTTTAATTATTTTACTTACATCTGAACCGTGATATAACTCTAAGTTTTTAATCAATTTTAAAACTTATAAATATGAGGAAAACTATGGTACCAATTTTAGTACCGTAACAAAATTTAAAATTTTTTAAAAATTAGTTACAATTATAAAAAACAGGATTGTCTCTAAGATCTTCAATCTTTAAAAATCAAGTTACACATTTCTTAGGTAAAGTTATAACTGATTTGAGTTATTTCATGATCAATTATAATATTTTATGATCGATCAATGAATTATATCAATCAATTGAAAGTTCTTTTTTAAAAATTATAATTTAACCTTAAAAATTAATAATTTTTGATATTATACTGATTTTTTTATCGTAGAATTACCCGATAAAAATAGAGCACAATTAATATATTTAGAAGACAACATGTCTAGGCGGCTATTCTTATAATTTTGATGGCCCGAGGTACATATTGAAGTATTTTCCTCTGATAATAACACCTAGAGAAACATTGAACATTACTAGGTGAGAATATATTGGTGAGTGTAAAGTATTAGGGTGTTAGGGACATTTTTATACAAAGTGCATGGGAAAATGGAAAAACTTTTTCAAAGAAGGTTTTCCCATTGAAGGCTTGAACCACCTAGACTCTCACCAAACTATCAAACTATCCGATAATAATTACCGGGTCTTCCACCTCTCTTTTGTGATTCCAACTTTTAAGAAATAATAATGTTGAAAAAACAACTAATTAGGATTCTATTTGTAATTTAAATCAATCGAGTTCGAACAATTTTTAAAATTCGTTTTCTTAAAAGACTCAACTTATTTATATGTAAAATAATTGAACTATTTGAATTTGGTTCAAGTTCGCCTTGTTTGGGCTAAAAAACGAGCCAAATTTGAAATATTTTTTAGACTCATTTAAAAAAAGAGCTCGATAAACTCCGGTTGGCCTATATTTCCTGTACTGAAAATTCGTCATATTATCTCTTACTTGAAACCAAAAAAATATTATACAAACATTATTTTTCCAAAAAATAATGCACATTAAACACATAAATTAAGCATATTTTGATGTTATACCATGACTTTGCAGCACCATTTCATAGATTTATTAACTTACATGTGGGCGTGAAACAAAGATGCTAAATGTTGAAAAAATTGATTATGGATAATTTTACAGTATCCAAAACAAATTGTGAATTTTAGATTGAATTTGACGGGGAGTCATAGATTTTAGTTTAATTGATTTATAATAATTGATTATAAAAAATGATAACATAGTGTACAACAATAATAAAAAATTATTAAACAAGAAGTTGAGATTAAAAAAAAATGACTATTGTCAATTTCAAGAGGTAATTAAAGTAGTATGAGGAAGAATTATAAACTCAGACATCTTGATTTCGAATTTTGATAGTTCTTTGAACTCAAATCATACGAAATTATTATAGTTCCAGATCGAAGAGAAAATTAATAGAAAAAAAATTAATTAAAATATACATAAATTAACCTAAATAACCCTCATAGTTAAAAAAAATTATCATTAATCTTTTTGGAGTTACATTGCATTTTGATTTTTTTTATAGGATCGAGACTGTTTATTTAGCATCTCAATGCACACACACACAATGCAAAAAGCTCGTTCTAGGTGTAGGCAGCCTTCCATGAAACCAATCCGACAAACACTGGATAGAACTTAGAACTTACAACATTGTCATCTCTCTCTCTCTCTCTCCTGTTGAGTTCTTTGACCTCTAGTGCAAACGGAAAAGTTGAGGCCCAAATGGGGTGGCATTAAAGCCTTCTCTCTCCCTCGTAACCTTTCCCATAACTGTTGCTATCTTCTCCTGTTCCGTTTCCAAAGCTACAGAGACAGTCTGCAGGTGACCACCTCTCTCTTTCCTTTATTATAATTTTGTGGTCTCTTTTTTTATCAACTGTCTTGTCTCTGACTGTCTTCTTCTCAAGTGCCCCAGGTTTCTCCACTTGCCACAAGGCACAAACAAATCAATCTAGCAGCGGGGTGTGTGTGTGTGTCTCTCTCTCTGTGCAGAAGATATAAAGAGTCCACAGTAGTCTCTGCAAAAGATTCACAAACTTTCTCTCAACGCATACCCAATACACCAAACAAAGCTATTAAACCAACCAAACAAAAAGCAACTACAACAAACTCTCTCTCTCTCTCTCTCATGGGCTTCCATCTGAAGCAACGGAGAAACCAGCAGCATGAGTCAGACTCAGACCAACAAGAACATTCTGCAAAGCTACCAAGACTTCTCCTTGACCACCCCCATCCACATCCACAGCAACCACCAGCTTCTGGATCTCCTGCCCTTCCATTGTTTGTACCTGAACCCACCAGCAAACTCAGCAACCTGTCAGCATACTCACATGATTCAACACCCACTGCCACCAAATTTCCGAGTAACCTCTCTCTCTATCTCTCTCATCTATTGTGGCATTTTCTCAAAAAGTTCACTTCCTGCTTTGGAAAGTCTCTGCTTGATTTGCTTCCAAGTTTACTAATGAGCTTTTATTTTTATTTTTTCGTTTTCCTTTTCCTTGTATGCTTTTTGATTTTGAAAGAGATGGGAAGTTACTTCAGCTTGGCCCAATGGCAGGAGCTTGAACTTCAGGCATTGATCTTCAGGCATATGTTAGCTGGTGCAGCTGTTCCTCCTGAACTCCTCCACCTAGTCAAGAAAAGCCTTCTCAATACTCCATATTACCTCTCCAACCCTCTTCCTCACTACCCCTATTACCAGCCAGCTTGTAAGTGTTCTCTCTCTCCCCTTTCTTGATTCACTTTAAGGATTCATCACACCAATGAGAATCATTTGCTTTGATAGGTAAATAAGGTGTCTAGTGATCAACTTCATCTGATTTGAGCTTTGTCTTCATTGATAGAAATGAGATCATGGGAATGCCTTTAAATTTTATGTTCTTTACTTGGTAAACAGAGTTTTCTTTGTCTATCTTTATCTACTTTCAGATTTCTAGGCAGTTTGTCTGTAATTTAATATACGATATTGACATGATACAAACAAAAGCTGGATCTATTTGTTATAGACTTATAGTGATTTGTAGATTTCTAGAACTGATTTTGAAGTTGGGTATTCTTTAGAGGGAAATGATGTGTGTGTGTTTATGAAATCTAATGTGTTTGAATATGGTGACTCAGTGCTACAACCAGGTTATTGGGGAAGAGCTGCCATGGATCCGGAGCCCGGCCGGTGCCGGAGGACTGACGGAAAGAAATGGAGGTGCTCAAGAGATGTGATGGCTGGGCACAAGTACTGCGAGCGCCACATGCACCGTGGCCGGAACCGTTCAAGAAAGCCTGTGGAAATCCCCACACCCACCACCGCCGTTCACGGTGGTACTGGTAATGGTGGTGGTGGAGTCCTCAAAATCAACAACCCCGTTGTTTCTCAGCCCCTAACCGCCGTGGCTGGTGGTAACAACCATTTTGGGCTTTCTGTGCCTTCACCTTCCATGGATCTCCTCCACTTCCATCAAAGGTACACACTTCACTTTCTCTCTCTTCGAATTTGGAAAAACTTGTGCCCCTGGCTTAGAGTTAGGGCTGAGGAACCATTATTATTGGGGACCAACTTCTGTTTGATATTTGTCAGACATGAGGTATGTAGTTGTCTATCATTAGACATGCTTGCTCCCTCAAATGGTGAAAGTGTAATACATGTTAACATCAAGGGGATCCAAAGCACAAAACAGCTTGCTTTTTCCTCAACATACTTGTATTATTTTCAATTCACTTGGTGAGGTCAGGGTCCCCTAATGCAGACAAAAAATGCACTGTGGATTGCTAGAATCTAGATAGGAAAAAGCAGTACGGGTAGCTTAGCTGCGTGGAGTTTGGTGTGAACCATAAAACTTTGACATGTTAAGTTCGACCCTTGGTGTTGACGACTAGCTGATTTAACTGATACTTGTGGTTATAAAGTAATTGCGTATCCGGCATTTACGTTGGATCTAATGTGTAATGTGACACTACTTTAAAGAGATTGTTATCACCAAAAACAATCTCATTAGGGTAGGTGTTGGTCATTACCATCTATACTTGGTTGGACCCCATCTCGAATGTGGCCAAGGTCTGCTTGAAATCAGAGAAAAAGCTTTAATCTGAACAATCTGACCCCAACCACTTGTTATGCATCTAAATATCAAGGGGCCCTTGAGTTCTTTTGCTTTTTGTCCAATCTATTTCTTTGTCTAGTCTTTACTTCATGTTCTCTGTTTCATTGTAGGCCCTTGGAGTCAAAAACTGAAAACATGGGTCTACTTAGAGGACCCCAAAATGAGGTATCTGAGGACGGCAAATCCAATGGTGGAGTCCTTCGCCATTTCTTCGATGATTGGCCAAGATCACTTAATGAAACTGACAATGCTGAAAGCAATGGTAGCTCCGTGGCTTCGGCCACCAACCTCTCCATTTCGATCCCGGGAAACCCCTTGTCCGACTTCTCATTGAAACTGTCCACTGGTACTACTACTAATGGAGATGAAGCAGGGCCTCAAGAGGGCAATGTAGGACGAGAGAGACCCCATTTGAATTGGGCTGCAGCATGGGGGTCGAACCAGGTGGCTCCAATGGGTGGACCATTGGCTGAAGCATTGAGATCATCAACCTCCAATTCGTCGCCGACTAGCGTTCTACATCAGTTGCAGCGCCGCTCTGCGTCGGAGGCGAGCTATGTCAGCACCTGAATGTTGTGTTTCTTCAAGTTCTACAAAATCATGGATGTTTTAAATTTATTTCTTATGCTTTGCTTGCTCTTTTTTTTTTTAATTGTTTCTTTCCATGTTGAGGTCTCTCGGTGATAGGTTGTGTATATTGTGGTGTTTAATTGATCTTAATTTAGACTCTGCTTGTGGGCATGAGAGTTATTCTTGCTCATCTTGATGGAGAAGAGGGTATGTGGTATGTGTTATATTGTGTTCTGGATGCCACAGATTGTATAACTAGAGAGCCATTGCACCCCCATCAAATCCCAGAGCAGCTCTAATGTGAAAATCTAATTAATTTAGGGGAAAGAGAATCAAATCAATGGAACTTTATAGCCTGCCTAATCTAAGACCATGCTTCAACCTAAAAAATTGAAGCTTTACCAAGAGAAAAGTGTACAACCCCCCCCCCCCCCCCCCCCAAAAAAAAAAAAAAAAAGAAAAAAAAAAAAACAACCTTCTCTAATTGACAGCTTTTGTGTATTGAACTATAAATAATTGGGGAGCATGAAAGACTTGGTGTAAAAATTTAAATCATGAAAATGTTGTTTGAATTTAAAATGTTGACTTGATTAATCACAATTATTGAACAAAATCATAAGTTCTAATAAATCATGAGATTTACAAATAAATCAAAAGTAGTGATTGATAAAGTCATCATATTAAGTCAACATTTTAAATTCAAATAGCAATTTTCTTTAAATCAACTACTAGATTTTTTTTTCTTGCTAATTAAAAAGGGTGATTAAGGAAAACCAAGTGTAACAATCCCTAAGAACGTTACCTTGAGATTCTCAATTGCTATAGAATGTTCAATTTGAATCATAACTATCAACTTGGAATCAACTTGGAATGGTCGAGCTCGTCACCATATTCCTACTAAGGAAAAGTTGGGCATTCAACTCATTTAGCCGTAACAGAGATTACTACCACAAACAAGTTCGAATGAGTACCCATGAGTACTAGAAGAGGACGAGACTTTCCCCCTCTATTGAAGAGAAACAAGGCTACCATCCCGATGATATCAACTAAACTCTATTGGTTTCTGCTCTTAAAAGTTTATGTCAGTCAACAGAATCTTTATAAGTACATTTTGCCTCAATTCTATGCCACTGCATTAGATGCAACTATTACCGGTAGGATTCAAAGACAACATCAATTCTAGTATGCTATACATGGAAACATGTCTCGGTAACCCCCAAAACCACCACCTTATTCAATGTTGGAAGATAACGCATATGTACAGAGCATAAAATTATACTCCCATTACTCCACTCTGATTTGTAAATTTACACATTCACCTGCCATCCGCTTCTTTCATGTATGCTGCGACTGCTGACCATACCAATCCAACTCCAAAAGGATTCTACATTAATAAGGGCCGGTTTTACCATGGAGAATCCAGTATCCATCCAGTCAAGCATCGAAAACATCCTTGAAGCAAAGAGGAGAATTACAATTAGACTGCGGCCTCAACGGGTTTCACTTCATCCTTTGTTAGTGCATAAACCACCACTGTTCTAGAGGGTGCATACACCAGAAATGAACGAGGTCGATCATCATGAAACCCTTCCTGCATAGACAAGGATGAAATTAAAGAGACCAAGAGACATTATATCAGAAGGATTCACACATGTTTAATATCAGCAGGTATGGCCTCTCTTACAAAGGTGAAGTATTCTGCATCGTGATTGATTCTACTGAAGCCTCCAAACAATGGATCATCTGAATCCAGGACAACCTGGAAAAGACAACACTGTACATTTACAGGAAAGCTTGATAGACATATGCCTACAAAGTACACATAGCATAGAAAGAACATGACTGAAAAAATTAAAGAACTCCAGATGAACATTAAGCATCAAATATTTTGCATACATAAATAGCTATCATAAACGATGGTCAACAGATAATTAGTGTGGGACCCAGAGTTAAATCTTACAAAAAACGTCAGGACCCAGCAGCACGCCGCGCATGTGATAAAGAGGCTAGAATGTCTCTTTAAGACTTTTTCTAATGAGTGTAAATTTGGAGAAGGGCATTGTCTTACAGCTGCATAGTTCCTTCTATGTGATATATTCAGATCATCATCTCATCATTGAGAGTTAACTGACATTTCAGGGTGGGCATTAAACAATCGTAGAAAAGAACTTTCTAAAGGCAGCTGGATTGACACCCGGTAGGTTAATTTTGGCGTGTTACCTGTTCTCCAACAATTCTGCATTTATTAGAGCATATAATGCAACTTTATGATAAAGCTAACAATGGATAGGTCCAACAGGGGCAGCCCCTTACTATTCCAAACAACCTAGTCAATGCACGCACGCACGCATCTGGTTCAAACTTAAAAACCATTCCAGAAGCACTTCAAAATAAAAACATTACGACACCATATACCTTCCAAAATCTAATGTTCCAATTGACTTCCACTTTGAGATATCTAACCACTCAGATTATTGGTCCACAGAATCTTCTAAATAGGTCATCTGTGGACGCTTTTCTAATAGAGGAAAAAATATTGGTGTGATACAATCTATCACTGAAAAGACACAAAACTTTGATTGATAAAGAATGGAACAAGCACTAAAATGGTTGATGATAAATAGCCTGATGCAAGGGGTAAAAGGGCTAGTATTGTGTAGTTACAAACCAACTCTGAACACTTAAGAAAAAAGACATTCAGTGCATCATACCTTATATTTTCCTGGCTTTAAGCAGCCAGCCCGGTGGTCAAAATAGCTGTTACTCCAATGAAAATTGAAAACAAAAACCAAGTCCCCTCTCTCGAAAATGATTATCCTATCTCCTTCATCCTTCCGTGATATATACCGGTGGTCCGAAGTCATGAACTGAAACAACAGTCAATCAGTACGTAGTCGTTCTATAAGATACCAAGATCTGAAAAATCACAAGAACATCAGGCTAAAGAAAGCTTGCAAACGAGAATGAACATGCACTTCCAAACATGACACCCACAATGGTGATGTTGAGCCAATAACTACTCTCTGCTTAGTTGCCTTTAAGGAAACATGAAACCGTCAGACATGCAACCCAGTTGAAAGAAGCTACATGAAACCTTGGGTGTTTTTTCTTTTATCTCAAACCTCTTCCAGGAACCAAAATAACTTTACTTGGACTAGGAAGAGACAGGGTTTACTGTTTAATTTTGTTTGTATACAGAGAAAAATTGTTGGTATGTGAGCAACAAGTAATCAGAACTAAAACAATAACACACATCTGGAACGAGTTATACGTACACCATAGGTTTCTTCAAGATGCTGCATTGCCTGATCAAATTCTTGCATTCCATTATATCTTAAATAATCTGCATCCCCCTGCATATACATCAAATGTAATTTTGAGAAACATATAGATGCTATGTACAAGCTCTAATGGAAAGTTGATCTAAAGAGCAAACAAATAAGTGTTGCAACTACCAAGCTCCATTGTGAAAACGCAAATGAAGGGAGTTTTAAAGTTTTTAAGAACACAACAGGGCTGCTAAGAACCAAGTTGTTAGTCCTCCATTCTATTGAACATAAAGAACATTTCAAGTTTTTGAAAGTTGAGGAAAAATTTCCAGCAAAAAAAACAAGCCTAACATCTAGTTCCTGCATTGCCATACTTCTTTTTCCATTGTGACTTGAGTGTCATGAGCTTGAGGGCTTGAGTAACGAAAACAGTCTCTCTACATATGGAGATAAGACTGCATACGCTTAACCCTTTTGAGACTCTGCATGGTAGTCTTACACATGAAACTTTGGGGGATGAATGTAATCGTCTCTAGAAACCATAACAAGATAAAGTAAACATTTAACTGATTCATTTCCTCTATCTTCTTTAGGGGGTTTTAAATGAATCCAGTTTGTGTGAGGAGGACATTCTTACAAAAGTCCAGATACTCCTTTTCAAACCACTATTATGAGGGGCAAGTTCCAGCAAATATCTATCTTTTCTGAAATCATTCCTTAACCAATGTAACCTACGTGCTATGTTTTCCACAATCTCAGTGTGTCACATTTTGGCCACATTGATTGGTAAAACAGATCTGGGATTCCAACATGCAAGTTTAACTTGAAAATACGCCTCATCCTTGCTGTGGTCTATTTTCATCAGATCCGTCTCTCACACTCACAAGGATACTTCCAGAAATCATATGATTGTAGAGGTACATTTACATATTGGAAATCTTTCAAAAAATTCTTCTCAACACAATTTTTCCACGAAAAGTTCAGTAACAAATGGAGCATCATCAAAAGGAATTATAGTCTCCCACATGGCATTCTAATGGCATAAGCACATAAACATTGCAATCATAAAGTTGACGACACTTTAACTCAAGTGCGGGAAGAAACATAGGCTGCATATAAAAAGAAAAAGTGACTCCAGATTGATTTCTAAAAGCTGGCATCAAATGTTATTCCCCAAAAGAAGTGCACGCCAAATGATCTCGGCAGACTTGATTGCTCAATGATTAATCTCTCCTGTGAAGTCATTCAAGAAATCCCATAATCCAACAAGGCTATCAAATTGGAAATAGCAATGTCAAACCTCTTTTCATCATATTTGGTAGATCACATTCACACCACATTTGATTTAATTAATCAATATTCTCATTCACTGTTTTAATTATTTAAAGAACCTCTTATTGACCACATAGTAACTAACTTTGAGTTCACTGTTGGTCCTCGCATCTCACTGTTAACTGTGTGCCTTCATAGAATGGATTTTTTAAATTATCTGCTTTCCCAACAGTGGAATTCTCCAAGACCCAACAACTCCAGATCATCTGGCCCAAGAAAATGGAAAAGACGAAGAACATGAATCCACATGATAGGACATTCCTTTCTTTCATCACACTAAACTTGTGGTAATAGTTAGGAGAAAAACTCACCAGATCAAATCTACGCCGGCATTTATCAAAACTGTTTCCATTTCCAGGGATAAATTTGCCATCAGGAAGATATTGATCAGCTCTTGGAAAATCTATCCACTCTGACAGAGGAAGTGCAAGGAAAATAACATGCAAGTCCCAGATGACCAAAGACAGTTAGTATCTTAGTCCATGCTACTAAATGACAGCCAAGTGATTTATCCTTACCAGGATGCCCAAATTCATTTCCCATGAAATTTAGATACCCTTCTCCGCCTAATGCCATAGTAATAAGCCTGATCATTTTGTGCAATGCTATTCCCCGATCTATCTGCGGAGTTGATGGTCTATCTAAAGCCATGAAATCATACATATCCTGAAAAGCATAGAAACAATTAATCGAAAAATTTCAAGTATATTAGCCAATAAAAATACATCATTGTGCTTTTCACACAAATGTATTTAATGATGCATTCAAGAAAACAAATATGTGTGCACCAAATTTATCTTCACATCCTGCTGATCTTAGAATGCAACAAACCAAAAAGGAAAGCACATAAAGTAGATAAAATTCACACACAAACACAAGACAATAAACAGAATCAAAGAATGTAGAAAAAAATGAGCAAAAGGGAAAGGAAAGTAAACTCTTAAGTCTCTATCCATCTGAATCCAAAAAATCATTGTGATGGACTCTTTAGATGCTGCATTAATTTTTTCAAATGCTTGACTTAAATATTAAAAATGCAAATAATTATTTTCTTTCTGGGGAAACAGGAGCATAAATGCAAAACCGGGCAAATATGGAATTTGAAGGCCTTGTGTATTAACGTTCGGGATTAAATTGAGTCTTGCTACATTTCAATTTAGGCTAGTATAGTACTAGTGATATTTATTTATGTTTTAATATGAAGTCCTTAGAAGTTTAGAATAGTCTTAGAGATCAAGGAGTCAGTTTCTTACTTTTGGAGTCTTATCCTGGTAGCAATAGGAGAAAGCCTAAAGATTTTATGATGGTTAAGGTCAAATTCTATGTGATTAATATCCGACACATTTTAGAGTTCCACTTGGAAGGCCATGGCTCCACGAAATCCAGATGAAAATTATTATAATTCCTCTCTTTTTCACACCTGCATCTAAACATAGTAACTACAATCTTCAACCTATAAATCTTACTTAGATAAGAGGAAACATTCCCTCAAACATATATTCAATTATGTATAGTTGTTTTTAACAAATCAAAACTATACAGGAACAAGTCCTACCCAACCCTAACATGGTGGCTCTTACTTCTGTAAGCCTATGACCTTCCTTCACATACTAGAATCTTCTAAAAGCTATCCAATAACAAGTCCTGCACACCATTGTTTTAAAACCAGGCTAGGCCAAGCCCAGCCTGGATCGACGGGTTGACCTGGTGTCTGAATCGGGCCGGTTCACTCATTAGATCGTTTATGTACAAAAAGGGTCTAAAACCCGATGAACTGTTCCACCCGGACAAGTTTACTTAAATTGGTCGAATCAATTAATTTTGTATAAAAGTTGTGTTTTTGGCCCTTTTGCCCTAAATCCGTCATTTCGACGATCGAGAGTCGGTCAAAGATCTTCATCAATGCCTCTGCCACTGCGCCTCTGCCTCTTCGTGATGGTTGACGATCATATCAACCAATTGGCCTAACTGCCTAAGTGAGTTTGTGTGTGTGTACGTGTGTCTCAGACTCTAAATTCTCTCTCTCTCTTTGAGTTTTCGTGTTAGTTCTCTCTTTGTGCCGCTGCGAGCAAGCAAGGGACGAAGGCTGCTCCAAGGATCCATCGAAGCATCAAGGACTACCATTGCTCTCTCTCTGTGGTCCTCTCTCTCGATCTCTCTATTCTAACTGTCTAACATGTACATGCTCTAATCTGCTATTATAATTGATTTTTATACATTGAAGCTTTGATTTTTTGGTAATACATTCTTAGAGTTGTGTTGTATACTTGTATTGTTACCTAAGATTATGCAATTAAGATTTTATAGGGCTCTATTTCAAGAATTATGCAATTAATTGAGTATATTGTTTGATCAATTATTTTGCTTATGGTTGTGAGTTGAGGTTGAGTAGATTTTGCAAATTGACCATATTTATGGTGGTTTTAATGCATTGGTTTCCAATTATTTTCATTTGTTGATGTAAGAGCTTTGTAAGCTTGAATCTATATTTTTAATATTGTTGGAATGGTGTTGATGGTAGAAATTTTTAAGCTTGAATCTAGATATATCGTGGTCTTTGATGCTATGACATGAGATGTTGGGTTTATTGCCTTGTGTATCTTAATTTACACTTAAAAGTTGGTATGGTGTGAGGCTTAATTAATTGTGGATTTTTGGTTATGGATGTTCATATCAAAATGTCTTCCTCCGGAACACCAATTGAAGCAACATTTGACGGGGATTAATGGAGAAGTAGATCGATGCAATAGATGTCTTCTTAATGTTAGCCATGAGATGAGATCACTTCTAGAAAGTACTCAGACCAAGAAAAGAAAGACACAACAAGCTTACGAGAAAATGAATCCATATGGACCGGAGTCTCGAAATTATGAAGAACAAGAATATATGCAAGAAAATGATGATGTTCTAGAAATCTCATCCTCTTATAAAGGAAAAGGCATTTCCAGTGGTGGAGGTCAAGGTAAATCAATAACTAACATGGATGCCGGAAGAAAAGGTAAAACAATTGACTCTTACTTTGTACTATGGACTACCCCAAGTTTTCAGACTATTATCAAAAGCGTGTTGCAAATAAAGGAAGCAAAAGACAGGTGTAATCTTATGGATGGATAATTGATGCTTGCGTTCCCTTCAATGCCGTGAACTCAATGTATTATCAGCCTATGTTAGATGCACATACTGGTTATGGTGGTTATTTGTTGAACAAGAAGTCAAAAATTTTGTCCATAGTTTTCAAATCATATGGAAGGAGATTGGTTGTACTATCATGGCGATGGGTGGACAGATCAGTGTATACGAATTTTGATTAATTTCTTGGTTCATTTCCCAAGAGGAACAATATTTTTAAAATCTGTTGAAGCTTTCAATGCTTTTAAGACAACAGATAGGCTGTATACGTTATTGAAGGAAGTTGTTTTATAAGTTGGTATAGAAAATGTGGTGCACATAGTGACCGATAACGTTGCAAATTATGTTACTGTTGGGAGTTTATTGGAGCAGGAGTTTCACACAATATCTTGGTCACAACGTGCAACTCATTTTTTAAATTTGATGTTGCAATACATTGAAAAGTTGGATGAGGTAAATCATGTGTCCCAACAAAATTTATATTTAATCATTGTTTTCCATTACATTTGATGGGGAAATACACTGGCGGAAGGGAAATACTTCGTCCTACTCTTACACGCTTTGCAACCAATTTCATTGCATTGCAAAGTATTTTAGCTCAAAAGGATGCTTTACGAGCTATGGTGACATCAAGTGAATAGACTATGTCAGCATATACAAAGGATAGCTGGGGAAAAAAATTCGTTGACAATGCGTTGGATTTAATTTTTGGAAAGAATGTGTTATTATTGTTCAACTCATAGTTGTGCGTGTGCTACGCCTTGTTGATAGTGATGATAGGCCATCAATAGAGTACTTGTATATGACTATGCATAAAGCTAGGGAGGAGTTGGTGAAAAAATTTCAAAGAAGGAAAAAAAGAGTAGAGAATCATTGCTACTTTTGGGATCGTCAACTTCATAAAAATCTTCATGTTGTTGGTTATTGGTTGAACCTAAGTGATCAATATAAGTCGAATGAAATGACAAATCTTCGACAAACTATTTCAAGGCTCTTAGATGTCATCAGAGGTGTGCTTATGGAAATCCCAATTTAAGTAGTAAGTTGACAAATAAGATGAAATTGTTCAGAAATGCAAGAGATTTTGAGTAAGTAACTGCAATAAGCGATCAAGATACGATGCTTCCCAGTATTTAAAATCTTTAAACTACTTCAAGTTATATACTTCATTTTTGTTATTATTAACATTTGGTTGATGTATTATATCATTAAATACAAATGAGAGGTGATTGTGTAATGAAAATAGCGCACCAAATTTATAAAAATTAGTCATCTGCGTCTTAAGCCAAACATGCAATTCTTCCGGTTACGAATGAAATTGGAGTGTATTTGAGCACATCCATTCTAAGAAAAGAAATAGGTTGGAGAATCAAAGACTTAATGACCTTGAATATGTTCATTACATTTACAAATTGTAACAAAGGTACATAATTTTTATTAGCATTTTAGTATTTTACTACAATTATGGTTAGTTTATTTATGTATATAACTTCACCTTGTAAATGATATGTAGGAATTATTTGAGGGGTAGAAATTTATTATCCTATTGATTTTGAAGATTTCACAACTACTGCCCCATGGATTCTAGAGGACAAGCCTCCAACTTTAACAGTGGATGAAGTGGAAACTTTTCGTCGTGAACTAGTAGCATGCAATATCTAAATAAACCTCAATAATGGTACTTTATCCCTACACAATTATTCATTTCTGTTATGTTATGTTATATTAGGATGTAACCCTTAAGGGTTTTTTTGGTATTTTATGATTATATGGGAAGTAGATGTGTAACTATAACATACTACTCTCTTCAGATAGAGTGTGTTTGGCAGCACTTCCAAACGGGCTTTTGAACCCTATAAGTGCATTTAAGGAAGTCTAGTTTGTTTGGTGATGTATTGGAAACGAGCTTCCGATGGAAGCCCATCTTTTAAATGCACATCCAAGAGACGCTGTCTTTGCTACCTTCTCAAAATGGCCGAAAATGACTTCACAAGAAGACTGAAAATTTATTTAAGCAATAAAAGCAAAGTTTCAATATTAACCCTCTTCTACCCAACATGATAACACTTCTACCCTTCAATTTGTTTGTATTTACTTGCATCAAATTTCTTTGAGGTGAAGTGAAGTGCAGTATCTCCTTATGAGTGAGTATATTCAGGGATCTCCACCACCACTTCTATACATGTGGCCGCCGAACCACCACAATCAAATTCATCTGTAATCACTCCAATCGAAATCATAGACCATTTCCTAACTATAATTTTTGCATTCGTTGGGTGTCGTCATCTTGGGATCAATCCGCAAACACCTTGGTGTTGAGCAAGACAACACATAGGATGTTGTTGTTTTCTATGGCTAGAAACATGGATCCGTGTGAACCCAGGAGAACATGTGATGAGACTGGTGAGGATTCTGGGTTCATTGAGGGAGGAAAAAAATTTGTATTGATTATTTTTATTTGTCTCGTAGTGGGTAGCTGGAGACATGAAACAAGCCTTTAAAATTGGATGAAGGTGTAGTCTAATCAATTCACAAGCCTTTAAAATGGGTTTTCCTGTGAAGTGGAATTGATTCTTTATAATTTTTCAAATTATGCTTCTTCTTTAGTTAGAAATTCCATACACACATTGATTTTTGCTTATTCTGGTGCAATTGTTTCTGAATTATAGCTTATAGTTCAGATTCAAAACATGTGTAGTTTGGATTTTTAATAGATTTCATGTGATAGTAATCATTTAGTTTTGCCAATTTTAAGTATCATATTGAGGGTAATATTGTTATATAATTATTATTTTTCACTTTAAACACTTTCCCATCAAACATAACTTATATATTTGGATTCACTTCTTAGCTCAAAAGCACTTCGAAAATATGTCCTCACCAAACATCTTATATTTGTAAAAAACTCCTTGTAAAGTGCATTTTAAAAAGTCCATTTTTTAGATGGACTTTCACTTTGAGAAGTTACGCCAAACAAAACCATAATCTTCTCTTCCTATTATTCTTTCTCTCTTGCTACAAACACTAACGACTTCATAACCTAACTATTTCAAATCAGTTTTTGATTAGTCAATAAATAATACTTGTCTGGATATAATGTTGATGAAACTTTGGATTTTGAGTTGGACGACGACGATGATGATCTTGAGAACCCTCGAAATGAGGAGGGTAATGGAGAGGTGTTGATAATGCAAGTAATGCTGAAAATTTCAATTGTCCTAGAGTTGAGAATCCAGAGTTTGGCACGGATCAGAATTGGAGTTCATGGAGTAGGAGCGCTAATTGGGAAAACGAGAATGAATAGATACGTCTATTGCATCACTTCTAGGATGGGCTTTTAATTTTATGAATATTGTTATTTTGTATTTGGGATTTGTACTTTGTAACTTATTAATTTTGGTATTGTACTTTTCATTTGCATGTTCTATGTTTCTTAAAAATTGTGAACTTGTAACTTGTTTATTGCGGTAAGAGCATTAATTTGAGGATTCTTGTTTGTTGTTCATTACAATTGGGTTGAAGATAAGTTATTTTAAAATTGTAGTAGTTGCCAGTGATTGGGTAATTTATTTTGAGTTTTGTTTATTTGAGTCATTATGCTATGCTCATGGCCTCATGTGCTTCGTTTTGGTTTCATGTGTCATGCTTACTATAGTTTGAGTTTAAACTTTGAAGAGTGCACATTACATGGATTATGCTTGGATTGATGTATAGTCGAAGACTTAGACTTGGAGTCTTGAACAGTTGAACTTAAATAGAGATATTTTTCTCTACTTAACTTTACAAGTTGTATTGGAAATTTAATGCATTGAATACATGTTTGATGTTATTTTTATAATAATTGTGGTTTTTTAACTTATTTATTATTATTTATAATTATTTTTTATTATATGACTGATTCGACCAATGACCCAACAGTTGAACCAGTGACTCATTGACTAGTCTCTTTGCCGGGTTGATGTACGGACTAGGTTTTAAAAACCAAGTTGAAAATCAAACTGAAAACATATTAAAGTGACCTATAGTTCTTATAATTGCATTCACTTTTCTTCCCTTTGCATGGACTTTGAATAAGACTCAAATACCCTAAAGTAGAAGTTGCAGAATGTGTATTTTAGTATTCATGTCATGGTGGTGTATTATTCCAACCTACATATAACCAGCTTTAGAAGAATTCAGCTCAAATCCAAAAAACTATATTTTAAGCAGTTAGCAATCAATTGCTCTCTTACTCCTGGACCAATTTAATGTATCTGCATAGAGTTTCCAGTAAACCAGAGATGTATTTATATATATATATATATAAAGGATTTTGATTCATTGTATTCTTTAAACAAATACCACTAGTGACGCCATTAAGCTCTTAACATGAAATTTGACATAGGCAGATAGAACATATGATGGAAGTATTTTTGCCTGAGTTTGTATCCAACTCCAAGAGGTCAAACTACAACGCTTAGCTCATTTACTCCCAAACCTGAACTAAAATATTTCTTTTTTGATAGCTTACTATAAGTTGTATTAGTAGTTCAAATGCATATATGAATCCATATACATAATAAAAATATTATATATAACTTATCCAACCTTGTCCATCAACCAGAACGCGATAGTTTTATCGCCAACTAATGCTTGGTCGTGACTTTCCGCATAAGAAACACACTTTTCCATCCATCTTCTATTAGTGAGAGTGTGAATAATAACACCCATTCTCCAATCCTCATCCCTTCTCCTGCACAAACAACAAGACAAGGCAAAAATCATTTACATTTGTAAGTTCTATATGTCCCAAAAAAATTAAGGATTCAATTGGCTGCAGCTTAGTTTGAAAAAACACCCAAAGTTAGATCCTGTAAGCAGCCAAACATGTTACTTTTCTTATTCAAAAGAGCACGGTTTGCAATTCTTAGAGGGTGGATTTGGGAGTAAATGATAAATTGTCTCTTTCATGATAAAATATAACTTCCAAACTTAGCATTCATTGCAACACTTCATCATGATGCCGGTTATTTTCACAGTTAACTTGAAGTACTCAACAGTACCTAATAGTGTTCTATACATCTCATATGCATACCAAAAACCAACTTCCAAGTCACCGTGCTAGTCAAAAGTTTGCAGTAATGTCAGCTTTGAGCTTTTCACTTGCCCAAGGCATCACAATTATATTAATGAAAAGGAAGTACACGGGCCATAGAACCAACAACCTACGAGTGAATGTGTACTTTATCAATTCAAGTTACAGTCCTTCCAAAATATGAGTCAGAGCCTATTGGAGCTATTAAAGTATTGTACTAGATGTGACATCAAAGAAATTTGGGAGTGATTTCTCACATCTTAGCCTGTGCTTAACCTCTTTCGATCAGTAAAACTAGCAACCTTTCTTATCACCCTTTAACCTAAACCAACAAGTTTTCCATATCATTAGCATCACCACAGCAGTCCAGCTTTTAGTTGTCCTTGCTTATGTATTCCAGATAACAATTTTATTGTGATACCATCATGTTAGTTGCTAATCAATGTTCACTCCCTTAAAAATATGATTATGTTTCAATACACCATGCTTTTCAGTATTGATGAACTAACAATGTCAAAAAGTATGCATAACTGCTGATTACGCAAGTTTGAAAAGGCATACTTCGTCATTTGTTTCTTTTCTAGTATACCTCTTTAGAGTTTATACAAAGAAAAGCAGTTTCTTCTTTAGTATGTCAATATATTACTTCTATTTTTAGATTTATTTTACTATACCATCCAACACATCATAACATAGTTCCAACTCTAACTCAAATCAACTCTACATCTGCACTTTTTTGTTTTTTTTTTTTATTTTCAAGCCTAGAAGGATGAAGTGCCGTATGATTCTTGTTCTATGACAAAATTTCCTTTTTCACAATCTAATGAATTATTTGGAACTAGAGGAAGTTAAGAACTCTTTGTGCTTCAGCAATATTATGCGAAATTGTCAAGCTTGTATGATCTGGTCTTTCAAATTGTATATCATAAGAATGATTTTCAGAAGTGTTAGGAAGCCATTATCAGTTCACATTAGTACTTGATTTCGGGGTGATTGTGTAAATTGCACATTCGTTCTCCAATCTTTCTTCTGCAGGGTACTATTAGTCGCACATATTTCTTGTTTTGTCCAGACCGATAAAGTTGCACCCAACATTAAAATGTCTAATGTACCTACCGAGAACTGCTTAGAAAACCGATTTTTACAAATCCAGTTATCCTTGAGATATTGCCCAGTTAACCTAATACCAAAAAACATAAATCTCAATCTCTTTCTACAATAATTTTAAGCTTTTTCTATTTTCTTTGTTTAAGATATGTTAAAAATTTGTACTAATCCTTCCCTCAAACAAGTGCTGTTTCCTTCTTTCAGCAAGAATCAGTATCTCTAAAATCAGGAAATAATTAACATTCAAAGTTGTAGAAGAAGCATTCGGAGTTGTAAGGGAACTTACTTGAGAAGCTCAATCCATTTATCAGCGATTGCCATATGCAGGCGATAGTCAAATCCAACACCACCATCTTGCACAGGAATACAGAATGTTGGCATTCCACTAACCTGCCAAAAAACGGCATTTAGAACGGTCATTGAAAACTTACTGCCACATTACGCATTAAACAAGCTCTGCCTTAGCTTGCTGAGTCACCTAAAACTTTTGGCTGCAGCTGCATGCTGGGTTTTCAATCATCACTGGCTTTTTTTTTTTGATTGGAAACGTAACTCTTTTATTGATTTGAGAATAATATATCAAAGAATTAATAGGATGGACTAGATGTCCAACCCTGAAATTAAAAAAATAAACTCAAAACTACAAAATTTAAGGGGCACATGAGGCTTTCCAATCTGCCAATATAAAAAATAGGGGGACACCATCAAAGTCCTTAGAAACCATCACTTCCTTATTATATCACCAAAATATCCAATACTAATAAAAATGGTAGGAATGTCTCCCTTAGTAGGTGCATCCATTCCAAACATCACTACTTTGAGAGTAATGCTCATCTAGAATAGGAAATATAATGCAATAAGAGATATTGAGTTGCTAGTCAGTCAATTTGGGCTGTGAAAGCAAGTTCTTTCTCGTGATTGGTTAAATGTGCCTCTGGACCACCTCAAAGATCTTCAAATCGATATCTTCCCATGGGCACTTGAAATAGCGTTTGTTTTAGACAAGGAGAAAGGGCTACCTCAGGAAATGCAATATCCTCCACAGAGGGTGTACAAAATCTCAAATCATCAATAACTTGACTCAGGCATTATTGCTTGACTACTTTGATCAGCAGTATGTGTAACTCAAGGACAAAATCTCAACATCTTCTGCACCAAACACGCAAGCATCCATTGCCATGATTTATGGTGAAACATACTTACCAATGCACTTGAGTTGGCTTCTGGCATTCCACCAGAATGTTATTGAGTCCACTTCCAGACCAAACTTTTCAATCTAAATATGTGCATGGTATTGAAGCAGAAATACTGCATTCTCGTATTCTAGTGCTGTACAGCACCTAATCTAGGAAACTTTTGCTTGCCTTTCTACCATCTAAAAAACCTCCTTCGTAAAAAAAACAAACTAAAAGCTGGAAACACAAAAGTGTATTTCTGGAATAAGATCCCCTCCATTCCATTTTTTCTCTCTGTGCCTTCTTGGTTGATCAACTATATAGTGAATTCAAGTGTGAACCATTGTATATAAAAGGGTCCATCATTCATTGATAATGGATGATTTCATTGATTTGTCAAGACAGAAAATGAAGGAAAAAACTATGAGAGGGTATCTGGATCCTGTATTTCTGAAAGATGAATATCATGAAGTTCCAGTGAAGAAATGTTCAAGATAGAATCAACGGATTAGATAAAAAATTATATTTTGGGGTGATGTTCTTTGAGGAAAGAGACGGTAAAACATTCAACTTCCAAAAAGGTATCTAGAACTCACATCATGAGTGGACCAGACAGCCCAACTGTCACTTGCTAGAGACAAATTGGTATTTTTTTTCAGCCATCTCTTTTATGACTAACAGTAACATGAATGCCACAGTAATTTTGGAACTTCTGATATTCATTTTTGGCCATATTTATCTAAAGATAATGTCAAACAACCACAAAAGCCACTAAAATTATAATGACGAATCCTAATTGGACCTAGTGATTTAATTATTTAGAAATTCTAGCATAAATAGGAGTGTCATCAAATTCGATGAAGAGCAAGAAGGTTTAATAAAAATTCAAAACTCTTTAGCTGTGTTACCGGCGATAAAGTTAGAGTTCTTCATATTCTGAGGAGAACAGTAGCATCAAGAGGCTATGAAAGCTTGCCCCATATCAGCAATTGGCTGTGTGACGAATGGATGATCCCAGCGAATTATCAGCCTCTGGCAATTGGTTCTATGATGAATGCTTCTAAAATGGTACCAGAGTTGTCTTCCAGTGGGTTGTGGGTTCAAGTCTCTTTGTTTGAAATACATCTAGTTCTATCTTTTCTGCTTCCTTCTGTATGCTGCCATCTCACCTATGATTAGCTGGGCTTACGTTGGGGGAGTGCTAAAGCTTGTCCCACCTATTGTGGGATCTCCATGCCATTCGTCGCCAATTGATAGTCTAATAAGGACCTAGTGATACACTATTATTGCAAACTTAACTGAGTTGAAGTGCATCCATTTGACTACTTAGAAAATTGTAAATGGTGATAAGGGCAAGGTTGCACCAATAGCAAATGGGTAGTCACAATTACAGCATTCAATCCAAAACCAATTGGTAATGGATCGAGTGACCCCTCAAGTATATAAACCAATCTTGGTAGTCCTAATTATTCGATGTGAGATATAACCTCTTTTAACAGTTAACACCCTCTCTCACGTGAAATTTGGGCTCGTTCACGATGTCAACAAGCAAACAATTATGCATACTGAAAAATTCAAATGGGTAAAAGATTTGATCCACTGTCCACCCAAGGCTCAACTCCGATACTATATTAGAGCATCCAACCCAAAACTAATTGACAACGAGTGGAGTGACCTCTTAAGTATATAAACCATAGTTGTCAAATCGTGATTCGTATCGTGAATTGAAATTCTAAATTTGATAATCGTGAATTGTAAGATTCGACACAAAATTTAAACAAAAATAAAAAATAATATTGCATATTTAAAATAGACAAAATATTAAATATTGAACATTATTACATTCTAAAAATAATCAATTGACATAATCATGTCGTCTAAATAAAAAGACGCTAGCCTTTTGCTTCATTTTTGTTTTTTACTTAACCATTTTCAAATTCAACAATTTAAAAAAAAAAATTCATTAAAGAACCATGACTATTTAAGAACCAAAATAGTGACACCCAGTATAGATTAGGTTACAAACATGAATGAAAAAATAAAAAATAAAAAAATTAATTGGGAGAAAACATACTGGCCAAGATTTTGAAACAAAAAATTATAACCTAACAAATTACCCATGAAAGATTTGGGAGTAAAAAAAAACTAATGATGCGAGAGCGTTAGCTGTGACCTTTACCTTTAGACAATGCAAGGCAAGCTTTAGAAGACGTCAGAGAGAGAACGAGCAAAGAGGTTGAGTTTTTATTAGGGCGTGGGTTACTCTACAAACAAAATGGTGTCGTTTTACTGTTTAGTGGACAAAACGACATCGTTTTGTAAAAAAATTGGGTTTTAAAAAAAATGATTAAATTTTGCGATTTGTGTAGTACGAATCGAATCGAATCGTACGATTCAGGTGCAATTCAACACTAAAACGATTCTCATATAAGATACAGATCATTTTATACCTGTATCGAACCGAATCGTACAAATCGAATCACGAATTGTACGATTTTGATAACTATGATATAAACCATCATTGTCATAATTATTCGCTGTGGGATCCAACCTCTCTTAACAGTCACAACAACATGCAAATCATCGTAGATGGAAGGCTTATGTCCATATGCAACAAGGCAACACTGAGTTGAAAATTAAAAAGAAAAAAACTCTCTTACAATGAAAAAAATATTAATGATTCTAAACTAATATTTTTTCCAGAGCAATTGAATCCTATTTGTACGCCTTAAAACAGAAAGTGGAGAATTCCAATTCCCCTACTTGCTGCACAACTTTTAACTACACATGCCTGAAAAGATGATTAGTAAAAGGCTGAAAATTTAGTGCAGCTACCTAGGTCGAGTGCATGACATTGATGTTTTACAAAAGCATCAGCAAAGAAAGAGACGAAAAAGAAAAAAGAAATTTGAATTTTCAAATTTCAAGGTTCTTCAGTACATGTTATACTGTTTCATATCCTTGTAAATACAAGGATGAACAATTTGCCAAAGGTGTGGCGAAATAAATAGTGTTTCCTCTCAAGTGGAGATTCATTACAAAGATCGATGATTTCAATCACCAAACATGCACATTTCATGTGTTTTAGGACTTTGCAAACCAAACCAGAGATTTTTGAACCTCTTACTACACTATAATTTTTTAGGATTCATCTTCGGTTCTTTCTCTCAATTTGGAATTTTTCATATTTTTAAATTTCACCTTTCTGCAACTGCGAATAGTATAGACACCTGCCACCCTATTTTTGAGCACATCAACCTTAGTGGTTTTCGTATGTCCAAGATTCAGTTAATTAGAGGGGAGTCGGTCCTCCCTTACGCTTCTATGCACCGGGCAAACTGAGCACACACAAACAAGAGTCACACAATAAAAAGGTATGATATTGGAAACATGAGTACAGCTAATAAAAGAATGTTGAGAAGGGTAAGTGAACAACAAGAAACATAGTACACAAGAAATACACAAAATAACAAGAATCTGGCACAAGTTGAATGCGTTAATTGGGTGGAAAAAATACTACGGAGTCTATCAAAAATCTAGATGAGCAACACAAGTTTTTTGCTTCAAGTGGTCCAAGGACGGGAGGAGTCCCAAAATAGAATCAAGTCAATTCAATGATTCAAGACCTTTAGGGAGACTATGACACAACAGAAGCTTAATGAATAGAGGCACACACCTTTATACAAAGTGAGATTTGGGTTTATAATTCTACCAGATTGTTTCATACAGATTACTCGATCCTATTGGGAAGCATCAAATAAAGAATACTCAACATAAACAAAAGATGGAAAAAGAATACCTACATCTTCACCAATGCTTATAGCTTCAGGAAAGAGCCCGTGAATAACATCATTAACCAGCATCAAATAAACCAAGCATCAACATCAGTTGCTAGTCCAAAATACTCATTGTAGTTTCCAGTGAATGCTACCTAAACAAACAAAAAAAATAAAGTATAAAGAGTTAGAAAAACTATTTTAGCAGATAGCTGAAGGGAATGCTTATGAAAAATACACACCACGACTCAATTTGATATATTTAGAGTACATATTGAACACTGTTGGTGATTAATATCTTTAGCGCAGTCAGAAAATTCTGAGCATTTCTGCAACAAAAATGAATACGGATTTGAACAGATTTCTTTTATCATTTATTCTACTGTTTTAAAATTTTTGCTGGTTCCTGCAATGTCAATGCCAAAAGGACATTGCAAACCAACTAGTGAGTTTGCTTACAACTTCGGAACCCTAATCATTTATTATCTTCCACTTAAAGACGCAGGATTCTTCTTAGATGCAAAATTCAAACAAACAGAGAATGTGCATCTGTATACATATACATAATAATGCAAGAGAGAGAGAGAGAGAGAGAGAGAGAGAGAGAGAGAGAGAGAGAAGGGCAAAAAGTGAGCCACATTCCAAAAGAGATTAACATAAAAGGAAAAAAAGAACTACTAAACTCAGATAAGGTAATAGTGCCACTCGACCCCAAATTTTGAAGTCAGAAAAAAAAAATATCAATTTGGCTCATGATTTAGAACATGGGTGAATAAGTGAGAGGTGAGATTTAAGAGTCCAATGATAAATTACATTTTTTGAGACTAAATTACTAATTCAAATGCAGCAAAAAGTCAATTGTTTTTTTTTTCTTTCTGTCATCATGTTGTATTAGAAACATCACAGAAACAGTATTTTCAACTCATGGTGTAGTATTGAAGGTCCAAAGTTGACACTTGTTCTCTCATTAAAATTTCTTTCAACATCCCCTTATCTTAGTGAAAAGTCTTACAAAATATGAGAAACTCATCTATAAAAGAGAAATATATCTGTACAAGGAAACTCAAAATGACAACTAAGTTGATGTTTAATACCTAGTCTATGACTCATTTATGATGTTAACGTGTTCAAACTCCAACCATAAGCCAATCACCACTTTGGCCATTACTTATTACGAGTAGCAAAGTATAACCACTTTGTGTACACAGTCACCTTGAACTTCAAGAATTACGAAGATAAAAAACTTCCTAGATGGACAAAGCAAAGAATTAAATTCTTTTATGGAAACAACCTAGAGCAAGTAAATCGACAAAATTTTTAGAACTAATATATATGTATGATGTGCAAACAGATTTCACAAACCAACAGATTAATGAGACATGGAACATGATTAGTTTGATGGCGTAATCCATGAATTTTTAAGATTGTGTTCTCATAACACCTAGATTGACTTGAAAGCAGATTTTAAATAAACCGACGCCTAGCCAATTCAGTAACTGTACCAAGGAAAGTATTTTGCTGCTTTGCTGTGTTTCTCATATTTAAGGTATGATGCTGTTCAATGGCAAAGAACTAAAAAAGAGTCTCTGACCTAATGATGGGTTTGAAAATAGAATTAGACATAGTCAAAGCTCCATTTTTACTGGTGTCCACAACTTATAAAACATCAATAGTAATTACTGTTATTCTTTTTAATAATGGAGAACTGTCCCAATCACCAGCCCTTTGGACTCATGGCTATAATGCAAACTCTGGATGCACATATCACCTGAAAACCACACGCATTAAGTAAACTAAGGCTTCCTTGTTCGAATCAAACTCGGGATCTAGAGGAAAGGTCCATCCAAGCTACCTTGACGGGTTAAAGTAACTACCACTACAGTTAGAAGAAATGGCCCAATGTGCATAATGGAAGGTATGCATGTAATCAATTGGAAGTTCGAAGCACAAGGTTCAATGAATTGAGATTTAGTAATCAATTTATCTTTGCATGAATGTTTATGTTTAAGTCCTTGATGAATAAGCTTGGCTAGTTGACTGTATCATAGAATCAAATGAGAAGCACATTGGAGTTTTCCGAGAGCACTTTGATCATACCTGCAATCCATGGTGAGTGTACATCATTGAAGTCACACCATCAAATCTGAACCCATCAAACTTGTATTCATCCAGCCACCATCTTGCATTTGAAAGAAGAAACCTTAGTACCTATACCAACAAACATAAATCAATTCCTGTAACTGTAAGCTAATATCATCAAGAGAAAACAAAAAAAGTAATATTGTGGAGTACACCATCACTCAAAAGGTTCTGCAGGGTAGCACATACTTCCCAGTGGCCATAATTAAAAAGGCGAGAATCCCACATCCAATGATAACCACGAGATCCAGAGTGGAAGTAATGACTGTCAGTTCCATCAAACATGTTCAGCCCATCCAAAGTATTATTTGATGAATGGCTGGAGCATTAGGCATTTCAGTTAGGCACTAGAAGCAAAGGTATTAACAGGTTAATAGGAACAAAACCACGAAAAGAAGAATAAACAATAGTTGAAATTTATAGTGAACAATGAAATGACATCTTAATTAATAAATGATTACATGGAAATTTCAGAAGAACAAAAGTAAATTATATGAGAGCTACAGAGTGGTCCAAGAAAAAGTAACAACCAAAGCTGAAAAAACTCTTTCCCTGTTGCCAAGTCAGGAGGATGCATCCAACATGTCATTTGCATCTTGCAAAAATCTATACATCACTGAATGTCGTATCATTCACCATATCATATTATAAAAGCTACATTTGAAAGCAATTCCTTTCACCATTTGAAATTTCAATATTACATGAATTTACCAATCTTTATTACTTTGGGTTCCCAACCAACTACATAAGCCATACCATACCCCCTCATTTGTTAATAAGTGTCGCTAGTAATAGTAAACATGAAAAAGGTATCTTTTACTGATGACTATATTTAAAAAAGCCCCAAAAGAGGTGCAACCTTGTACACACAGAACTTATGATGGATAAAGTTAGCACAACCATGTGATGTTAAGTGTCCATAATCTGAACTACTTCAAAGCAACATGATTAAAGTTTTCTCATTCGTTGCTAAACATTTACTGAAATTATTCCTCAACTAGTCTCCTAATCATAAGAATGCAAGTCTGAGTGCGGGCAACGGCATAAAATAGCAACCAACTATATATGTAGTCAGTACTTTTAGCATCCATATTTGCAGGAACGACACTGGGTGCTGGCTTTTCTTCAGTAATTAGCAGACACATCACACACGAATAACTGCCTAAGCAATAACAAAAATGAGGCTGCCTATACAAAACTCAAAACTCAATACTCAATGGGATCTATAAGTGAAACGGATATTATGGCATCCCCTGAAGCACAAAACTAAAAAGATTTAGTATCTAAACTTATTATCACCTGTGCACAATGTCCATGAGAACAAGCAGACCTAGCTCATGGGCTTTATCTATCAGGGACTTGAGATCATCAGGAGTCCCACAACGGCTGCTAGGCGCAAAAAAATTCGTGACATGGTACCTGAGACACATGAATGGAAACATGCAAATTCCGTTAAGAGTAAAGAATATCCCCACCGACACATTATAGGTGCCAAGTTGTATAATAAACACCACACAAAAACCAAAAAGGATTACCCAAAGCTAGCATAATATGAATGCTCTTGAATGGCCATGATCTGAACTGCATTATAACCAAGCCTTTTGATGCGAGGGAGGACTTCATCTCGAAAATTGGCATATGTGTTTATAAGGGGTTCCTGCATCTCACCGTCAAGTATATCATCAGGGTAAGAATAAGAAATCTTATATCTTGCAACTACAAAAGGATGAGGTATGAGAAAGATCTTGCAAAAACTTTCCACCTAAGTTCACCCTTGTAACATTATTTGTAGGAAAAAAAAAACTTGGTACAGTTATTGACGGAGCTAACTTACAAAAAAATGCTAATTATGTGTACTCTATTGATTTCAAAGGCAATCTGTCATAAAATAATATAAGTTTAAACATAGCATTCATACAGGTGGTCAAATCTACTCATTCAATCAAATCTTAAGGCAGTACAAAATTCAGAAAAAAAAAATAATCAACAAACTACTTTATCAGTATCCACTCTTACCCAATAAAAGAAAACGAACGTGTTTTGGTGGAGGGGGGATAGTGGACTCCACTTCTGATTGAGGCCCAAAATGAAGCCAAAAAAAAAAAAATACGGTTCTATGAACCATCAATCAACTTAGTTCTATCTTCAAAAATTCGAGTATTTCTCTCCAACCAATAAACCAAATAACTCAAACTGCAGCAAGCACTGCAATTCGATAGTGTGCCTCCTTTATTATGTTTCCCAAAGCCCTTAAAATCCTCAACAAACATGGAAGAAAAGGATGAAGGAGTAACACAACTCAAACATGCCAAAGAAAACAACCTATTCCACGCTTAAAGCAATAGGACAATGCAAAAACATATGATTAACACTTTCACTATCACCATGGCACATAACACACCACTGTGGAGAGAGACAAATTTGAGGTTTTCTCCTTTGAAGCAAACCATTAGTATTAATCTCACCATGACCAATAGTCCATGCACAAACATTCACCTTAATTGGAACTTTAGCCTTTCCAAATCATTAAAGAGGGGAGAAAAATTGAGGAAGAAGGATCATCAATCAAGGACTAAAAATGATTTACGGGAGAAACACCCAGATGACTCCAACATTTTTTAATTCAACTTCAAATCATCTTGGTCGTGCAAAGGAACCAGAGGAACGTGGAACCCATGAAAGACGATGGCAATGACTTTCCTGCCGAAGTTACTAGGGAAACACATATGATGCTTGGTCATCATGTCCAAGCATCATGGACTTTAGTTCAAATGAAGGGCTAGCAGAAAAGCAAAGACAAGGTGGGGACAACAGGGACGATGGGCAGCCATGTTTAAAGCCAGAAGAAGTGAGACTCTCCGTTACAAAGTTACCAATGCCGTACCAAGATAGATAAGAGACAAACAAGAGAAGAGAAAGAGAGAAAGGGAAGAGGAGAAGCAGAACAATGAAGAAAGAACAAAAGAACAAAATAGCTAATCATCACATTAAGAACATAATTTTTTTTTTTTTTGGGTACTTGAGACTATAAAGTTAAATATAAAACTAAGCCTAGAATCTAATTTTCCATCCAAGGTTCTACCCAATTCCTTTGCAATAACTGTGAATTACCAAAATAAACATAAATGCTTGTGCACTCCTGCATCTACAGGAATAACAGACAGCAACTGATCACAGTAATGAACCCAGTACCAACATCAAAAAGGTTCACCAGCCAAAAGGCACTAAATACATTTTTTTTTTCACACTCTCTCTAACAAGTAAAGGGGGATACTTGTGTTAAGATCCAAACCAGTGCCAAACTCGAGCACAGATGTGGCATCAGGAAGTGTCGCTGTAAATGAGCAAGTTTTTGCACGTGTGGCATATCAGAGCACTAAGATCTAACAAGAAAATGTGTTTACCATGTGTTGAACAGTGATTCGCTAAGGTAAAAGCAGAAGTATATAAGCACCGACTTCCAAATTTATTACGAGAGAGAAGGAGGGATGCAAACCGTGCTACTCATTCCGACATGAGCCTCATAAATTCTAAGAGATTTTGGTTTCTCTGGCCGAGGATGTTTAAATGCATACTTCTCCTGCAAAGAAATTGAGAAGGCATCCTTAACCTAAAATACAACCACCATAATAACTCAGAAGCAGCATTTAGCCGTAGAAAATTTGGCTCCATCGATGCAACCGTTGCAACTTTTTTACAAACACGAACTACTTGATATGCATTTAATGCTCACGTATAAGGCAGTAAATATGGTTTACTTACTATTTATCAATGAACAAATATAAAGCATGTGATATCGTATGTCATTTTAAAATTTGGCAGGTATCCTACATTTATGATTTGAAAGGTAAGAATGTAGATGACACTGACCCACCAGAGCAGCAAAACAAAAAACCAAAAAAAATGACGGATTCAACACGAGGTCTACCAAATCAAATCTTAATCCAATGTCACTGGATCATTCCTGACATAAATTGTTGTGTACTTATGTTGTCATGAGAATCCTATCTTTTCCCAGCATCAAAGTTATGGACCCCAATATTAATTACATTTGCAATAAAATGTATAAACGAGAGACCATATAACAATACCTCTTCAGGCGGATCATAGTATATCCCATTATACGGAATTTCACCAGGAGCCTGAACAGAGAACTTGATCCAAGCTGGAATGGAGTCTTTAATGCCAGATGGAGTATCCATACGAATCTACAATTTCAAGATTAAGAAAGTATTTTCAACACAGTCGATTAAAGAACAAACACTTTGTGCTATATGGTACTCAAACTACAGATAAACACGTTATGAGATTGAGCAAAGTGAGAAACCTTCTCCCAAAGAAAACCAAAGATAAAATTGTAGACCACAATCAGCCCCAAACTAGAAACGAGATGGAAGGAACAGTATGCAATGGAAATTTAGCCCCTTTTAATTAGATGTGAACTGTGATAGCAATCACTAATAAATCAGGAAGCTCAAAATTGTGCACATATTGACCAAATTTTTTCAGTGCTTTAACTCGTATCATTGGCTACTTGAGAGAGACCTTCATGGCTAGTCATCTAGTGAACAAAATCATACTCAGTCCAACCAAGCACAAAAGACGCCCTAGCGGCTGCGTTGCAGTAACACAAGGAAGAATTTCATACAATTCCATTGACATAGAAACAATTATCATCAGGAGCTACGGCATGAAAAGAAATAAATCAACATAGGGAACTGAAAAACCATTTTCATGCCCATCATGCGCTGTTTTTGCTAGAAGAATATAAAAGAAATAAAATTATACAAATAGATTTGAAATTATGAAGTAATTGCTGAAGGCGACAACAAACAAGTTAGCTAATGATACTACCAACAATTGATTTTGTTAGATATCACAGAAACAGCTACAGATGCAGTAAAAATGGAGATCCCACTCTCTTCTCCACTGCTTTCACCACATCTATTCAGTTTGGTGTATCACCATTATTGTGCATCTAACATGTTTAATTTTTCCCAGAATGCTGTGCATATTAACTTTATGATAAGTACAATCAGCTAAAAAACAACATATACTATCTTTTCATGTGGATGACTACAAAATTAATAATGACAAGTGACAACACACATGATTGCAACATCTGCTTTCTTGTGATAGATGATTTACCAGTTTTCATTAAATTCACCAGCTATAGAGAATTCATAATAATCAGCTACAGTATGTCCACATAGAAAGAGTGAGTGAATACTCATATTTCCTGATTAATTGAGAACTGTTCCAACAATGCAAACTTAGGATGCGTGCATCAAGAATACTTGGTACTTTTAGTTCATCTAGTAAAACTGATACCTTCACACGTGAGCCATGGGGAATTGGCGGAGACCCGTCCACATTGTTTGGCAAAAAGATCTCCCAGACACCGAATTCATTCTGTTCACATACTAGTACAGAGTGTCAAATCGCGCTATATCATTAAAAAGAAAAAAAAAGAACTTCAAAACAGCATAGAATCGATAAATTGCCACCAGAATCAACAGCTAGGAAGAGGAAATCATCACGTTGCAATTAACAAGTGCAAGTTCACTGACCTATGCATTGTGCAAACAATGCATTCAATGTGTTAAAGGTAGTGTTCTCATCATAGAATGCAGTTTGCTTTTTTCCGTGACGCAACATTTTACCAAACGTGACCACCCCAGCTTTGCATTCATTAGCGAATCATGTGCTAGAACAAGAATGATCCAGTTCTGTGACTCTTATATGATATGGCTTGATCCTTGAGCTAAAAGGATGTGCATGGCCAAATATTCATCGATGTATTTTTAATTTTGAGTCCTTGGTTTGGTCCATATCACCGCACAAACATTTTTCTATTTTCCCTCTGCTGTAATAGAGCTTCATTTCCCGTCAACAAAAATTCAGTTTATTTACCAGGGAAAAAAAAAAAGAATGATCCAGTTCAAGAAGTACTGAAAAAACTTTTCTTTTTTCTTTTTCCTGTGTCGCAAGCCATCTGATATAATAATATAATGAAACACAGCATCTAACACAGCAAGAGAAACTACAGTACTGTGCTGACATAGCATCAGAGCACTATAAAGGCATCATAGAGTGAAGAAATACAAAGAGGTATTTCTTGGTTCTTAAAACCCTCTGTTAGTGTCTTTTTCAAATTTTCATCATTCTTGGAGCAGAAGTAAAGGTATAATGACTCAAGATGTGCATATTCCAGCCAACAAAAAACAATAAAAGAGAAACCCAGCTTAGTCCAATGTGGTTGCACTCGACAAGGCCTCTAAGTTTAGCAATAAATAATTTATCAAGACAGGGTGTGATTTCTGCAAAGTTCACTCTGAGACTCAAACCATATTGTTTTTTCTAGTGATTTTTGGTTTAATTTCTCAATTTATACCAGATAACATAAAAACCAAGTTAAAAAAGAGTTTCTGGAACCCGAGGATACGCTTTCAGACTTCATGCAAAGGTTAGCTTGCTATTGAGAAGTTAAAGCATCATCAAAATTGCAGGGTTTTTGCAGCTTGTGAAACAGAAATGTGGACCATTGAAAAGGGTCTTATACTCTTATTTGTTCTCTGTTTTAAAAGCAGTAGCAATTCCACATTTTCCCTTGACTAAGACTCATTCAATTCCAGATTAGAATGTTAGCATAGAATTGAAGTTCAAAATTCCAATTCTATGGAAACAACATAAAGAAAATTTACTTCACATAGGTATAATAGTCAAGAAATCTATGTGTCATATATATATATATATATATATATATATATATATCAAGAAGACATTAAAAAAAAATAACTTTTCAGGAAAAATTGACAGCATCGTCTACAAAAGAAAATTTTGCACACACCGAAAGGTAATTTCCCCCTTTAACATATCACATAGCTATGGTCCTTCTATAAATAAGGGCTGAGAGTGGTCAAGTACAAACATGTGATCTCCAAATACAATTTTACTTCGTTATTCCTGTGATTTAGTTCTAGTATATATTTTAAAAAATATATTCCATCCTATTTCAATTACTCTAGATTTTAGAAATGCTGATCTTATGAAAACCACACAACTTCAACATATATTATATCTAACCTTTGACAATAATTCACAAAATGAGCAATTGCATACCCGGGTCATAACATCGGCATTAGGATTCCAATTGTTGAAATCTCCAATCAGCGCAGCTGACTGGAAAGGCAGAAAAAGAGGAAATAAAAATTATACTGCATCCAACATTCAATACAAATGACTTTCTGAAAACACTTTCAATACAAACGATTCTTCCAATTTTAGTAAACACTGCTTACAATTGTAGGGGTTGAACAGTATTTTAACAAATAAGCTTGTTAAAACTTACCCAAATAAAGCTTCAAAAGTAAGATGGCAAACAAAAAATCAGATAAACAGCCTAAAAATTGTCTACGATAAATAGAAGACGTAACATTTCAAAATAAGTTACTTGAATAAGAAATTCTGCAAAATTACAGTGAGAATAGCTAGGTGTAGGGAATTGACTTCTGTCATGTTTGGATCGTGTCATTTCGAGTTCGTGTGGAAAACTAAACAACCTTAACCAAACCTTTTTAATTAATCACATGGATGACCTTACGCCAAATCAATCTGTTTGTTAATCGCGCCATACTCAAGTCGATTGGCAATCCATGAATGTGACCCTTTCCACACAAGTTATGTGGCCATCTGCAAGAATTCAAGGGACAGTGTTGCTTAAGTCACCAAACAAAACTCCACTGACATGCATCATTGGACCACGAAAGGGGCTCAGCAACTGATTATACAACTCGAGATGGGGAGTTGATGTTGTGACAGGCACTTTTTGATTTTATGTTTTATTATTGTTTTGCCGGCCATGCAAATGACCTGCATTAGTGTCGGAACTGCTGTTCAATTCAATTGCTAGAAGAGTCATATTACAGCATCACCTGAAATTCCAGTTGCATATACATTAAAATGGAAACAAATAGGTATATCTCCCTCTTTGTACTTCTCCAAATAAACACTTCATCTAGTTTTTTTTTTTTTTTTTTTTTTGGGGGGGGGGGGGGGGGGGGGACTTGAACCTTGACCTCAAAAAAGTAAAGCCTTTACAAGGCAAGAGTACCATTGGACCAAAGGCCCATTGGTAAAGTACCTAAAACAAGTAATATCTCTTTCTTCCTCCCTTATGTGTTTAGCTTTCTCCTTTTTTCTTGTCAGATCTCTTCCCATTTTCCCTTTTATATTTCTTTGTTGACACCCAGTTCTTGTTTGGCCAATTTAATATAATACTTCTACGTATATTGCCACCTTTCCCAGCCAAAAAAATTTAAAAATTAAAAATACAAAAAAGAAGAAAGCATTAGCACGGTTCAGCCCCATGAGCAAGAGACATAATTATGCATCAAAGGGAAGACAATAAGATACATATCGAAAATAAGTAGAGTGGGTAAAAAGCACTTGAAGGATGTATCTCAACTATGGAAATAGCCAATTTTTGAAACATTTTTTCTAAAGGCACATGTGCATTTCCGTCTATTTGCTATAATCTTTTATATACTTCATTTTAGAAGTAGACCATGAAGCCAAACAAACCTTAGCTCCAGGTGCCCATTCCCTGTAAGTAATACCTGTTGCACTGGAAATACAAGTTAAGATGAAAATTAGCATGTGCAATAATATATAACCAACCATCAAAAAAAACTTTTTGAAAGATAAAACTTTAACATAATAAGAGAAAAATAGAACCTAGGAAGCACGTATATGGATATAAGATATGAGTACGATACGATACGGCGGCAAACCCCAAAAAATAGGATACGCCTACGGCCGGGATTCATCTATAAATATATATTTTTATAATAAAATTTTTACTATTATGTAATGACTTGATGTCTATAATTTTTAGCAATTCTTTAACAATAATAAACAATATTAACAATTTTTTATTTTCAAAAAGTTACCTATTGTCTCATTATGGTACATCTACAAAGTAAACGTGATTAATTAAAGGAATAAGAATCAACATTTAACCATATTATTTCCTTACAAGTATTTATTACTAAGATTATAGAGTAATCAACTCATTTAAACTCTTTGGACATGTAATAATAGATAATCCTTGGAAAACACCCATGCATCTTCCCAAGTCATATGATTTTTTGTTGATATATTGCGTTATATGTGAAATCAAAAGGAAGGGTTAAAGATTAAAATTAAAAATTACATATACTTCTTTGTATATAGAAGTATCCGCGAAGTATTTATATATTTTATGTATTATTGGATACGTTTAGTGTGTATCTAATGCGTATCCTTAAGTATTCAATGAATATCGCATCCGACACGGATACGTCGACCTTAATCTGTACTTCATAGAATAGAACTAAGTGACTATGCCAAATGTACATCATTTTTATTTTAAACATGATCTTCTTTTTCTTATAGCTTTTTCCCTTCCTTTTTATCTATCAACCTACGGTATTAAATAGTAGAAGCTTCTATGATTGAAAATTGCATTTGGTCTCTTTCGTTTTTTCCACCCTGCTTTGTTTTAAGACCACCATTTTCACAAAATAACTATCTTCATCCTTCAATAGATTTTTTTCCCAACCGTTAATGAAAATGCACGGTGATAGAATTAGCATATCTCAGTTAGTCACTAAAAGGGAATGTCACCAAATGGAAGTTACATGCTTTTGCAGAGATAGATGGATAGAATATTTGAACATACACATATATACATAGTGAGAGAGAGAGAGAGAGACCTAACACGAATAGGATACTAGTACCTGCGAGTGAAACCAAACTTCTCATACCCTCGAGAAAACACTTCCAGACCACCCTCATACTTGTCAATTGCCTTGCGCATTTTCTTGTAGTGCCCATATCTATAATTGGACAAATTAAGGATTAAAATCAAGACCAGTTTCCAAGCATCTAGTAGAAGTTCTTTTTTGTCCTTATTATACAAGAAGAATAGAGAATGTTTTCAATTTCAAAGGATTTTTACTTTGGGGAGGAGATGGCAGAAGGACCATGATTTACGTCTTAAAACACAGAATACCAAAAGGGTGTTGTCTCACATTGTTATGCACTTATGCTACAGACACCATTCCTGCACAACTTAGTTTTTCAAAGTATGAATTCACCAATAATAAGCTACAATATATCATAACATTATATCCAAGTTTGAGTTGCAGACACGTTAAAAGCAAACCAGGATTTTTCCGCTTGACCACCCATTATTAGGATTATCCACCAATACCTAATAAAATCACCTCGATAATACTATAACTAAATCAAAAGACAATACTATAACTAAATTAGAAAACCTAAGGAAAAGAAATAGAATATGTTCGTGTTAAGGGGATTTTCCTGATGTTTCTTTATAATAAAAGTTGTCAAAGGAAAATATAATGAAAAACTACCTATCACACAAAAAAAGAAAGGGTGACGGGAGAATGAAACAAAATCTAGGAAAATCTCATGAATAAAAACAAAGACATTGGCATAAAAATAATTTGTTTCTTTGCTGGCCAGAAGTGGAAACTGGGCTACAAAACCCTGGGAAACCCCCCCCCCCCTCCCAGGGGCGGGGGACAATTATAAATGTAGACATCCTCATGATGAGAAAATGCTGGGATGGATTTCTACCAAAAGAACATTTAGACTTTACCAGCAGGTGAACTGGCACAATTAAAATGAAAGAGATCATTACTTTCAACTTTGTATTCGTCAATGACCCATCCCCACCCACCACCAAACCATCCTTAAAATAAATTCCATGGCCCTTACTTTTGCCCTTTTCATATGCAATGACAAACTCCAACTCAATAAGACAAATTAGATTGGTATTTCGGATGTAAGAGACGAATAAGTGATTCAGGTGGTCGGGATCTACTCCATGTTGCCATTGACAAAATGATCCAGTGACTTGACATGAAGGATACCAGAATTACCAGAAGATATGCGTATACTACCACCATGAAATCCAATTTATATATCTCCAAGGTTCAAATATTCAAAGTAAGTGATTATGCATCCTCCCATGTATCACATTGCTGCTCAATCCTTCCACAAATACACTTGTATTAGAAAAACAAAGAAAACATCTTACCGATATTCAAGATGTTCGCCATAATTTCTGAGAAGTGGATCTATTTCATATATTCTCTGTCCAGTTCCTGGTGGAGGAATGGACGTTTTTCTAACTCTCTCTGTCTCATTGCTTATCATGTCATTGAAAGGAGCAGATGTCTCTGCTTCCTGTGCTTTACCTTCGTCTCCCAAAAGCTCTGAAAGTCCAGAATCTTGCTCCACTTCGACTTCACTATGAACGATTGTTGGTTCTACATAATTGTTCTCATCTTCTATGTCGCTAACACCTTCCATCTTCAGACTATCTACATCATTTGATACCTAGAGACAAAAAATTACAAAGAACAAGGTACAATCACATCTATGGGAAAATATAGCCCACTGTTTCTAAGAATTAGCAAAAACTGGCTTGAACCTGGGCACATACAAGCATAGTGTCAAGGAGAACCTAAACGGCCATGAAGATATTAGATTAAACAGATGAAAGCTATGTTTATACTGAAATGAATTAGAGTAATTTAGATGTCAAAATCACAATGACAGAATACTATATACAGCAGCAATGCCTATAAACTCAGGTAAATTCAATTCTCAGAAAAATGCATACCCTAGCAATATTCCTAATAGGACTTAAAACTCCTTAAAGTTCAGGTACATATGGTTCACAACCAACGGGTGTCCCATAAGCTGTAAAGTTCAAATACATATAAAACCTTTGGAATAGATACGGCAAATTTTTGTAATCATGCAGGATCTAACATGAACTCTGTGAGACATTTCTGATAAAACATAATTGGTGTAGGGCTAGATCTTGATCTTTCTCAGTGAGCTTTGGGCTTTTTATTGTTGATTTCTTGTTAGGCAGGGACTAGTTTAAGAATTTTGCTTTGTCCAGATCTGAGATGTTATTGCAATCATTAATACCTTTGTAGAACGGGCTGCAACCATTTAACAAAAGGACAAAATGAATAACTCCAAATAAATTTAAGCACATAAGTTCAAGCGTGCCCATGACCTTGGACACCATCTTAATGCTTTTCTGGTCATCTCCTCTCTCTCTCTCTCTCTCTCTCTCTCTCTCTCTCTCTCTCTCCATAGCTACTAATACTAATTCTTTACCTTTAGAATGGGTCAAGACCCCTTGCTCAGAACTCTGAATTGTATAATTTTTCCCAGAGCCTCCATTAATTCGATTTCTTTATCAAAATTTGCAGGAATATAAAATATGCCGCACAAAAAGGGCCAGCCACTCATCTTTTTGTGAATTACATGGAACTATAAAAGTCATAAATTCTCAAAAAGCAAGTGGGCCTTCATGCACTGGGGAGTTGTGTGCATGTGTAAATTTTTCAGGGTTGCTTTTTCGGGAATTTTGTGTGCAAGTTCTTCATACTTGGTGCTCTTCTAAAGCAAGCATATAGAATATGTCACATGACAATGCCCCGCCACTCAGTTTTTGTGATAGACGGAACTACCAAGATCATAAATGCTCAAAAGAATGGGTCTTATGCATTGGGGTGTGTGTGTGTGCGCGCATTAATTTTGATTGTTTTCCTTTTTTTTGGAATCTTTGTGTGCACGTGTGTGTACATACTAGGGGATCTTCTAAAGCTGCATCAGTAACTTCCAATTGCTTCGTCAAGGATGAGGAGCCATCACTCTGACTGCCAGGAACAAGGACTTTTTCAGATGCAGCAATTGTAAAAGATGTGGAGTCAGAATCATAAGACGACTTTCCTCCGAAAAACTTCCCTACAAATAAGTATCAAGTTAACAGAAGTCTAATGAGATAGAGGTACAAATCATTTGAGAGTGAATAAAGATACACAATACAACAAGTGCTTTAAGTTAATCACAATCAATATGTCTTGTGCATCAAGGATATACTCAAACTATCTCAATTGAGCCCTGAGCAAGAAGCCCCTAATTGTAAGTCATAACCAACAGCTGACTCCTTGAAATGTGATGCTTAAATGTTACTTATTCTCGAAAACCCAGAGAACAACAATGTCATATTACCATGAGTTTTTTTCCAACTCATAGTGATTAAGAGCATTCTTTCTTTTTTTCACCATTGGAAGCATTTTATAAAAAGATAACAGTAGGCCTCAAAGTAGAAGCATAAATCCTATCATCACAAGTGAAAGTTTTGAAAATTCTCTCAAGCTAACGTCAAAAAGACCAGTAAAAAGTACAATTGGACCCTGACCATAAGATTGGGTTTAAATTTCTAAATTTTGTCCTCTAACACGTCTAATTGCAAAAATGTTGGCTTTCTATCCATCGTTGTTAGTATTTGGGTGGACAAGAAGTCGCCTACCATAACCGTGACTTATAGATATAGGTAGTTTTAAATCTATATAAATTGCACATACTTGAAAAAATAAACCCCTCTCTCTCTAGAAAACTCATCTCTTTCTCTCTCAATTAAAAAACTGGCATCTCTGTCTCTCGATCTCATTTCTCCCTTATAGAAAGCCACCAAATTAAAATACTGGAGAACGCCCACCCACAATATACATATGTATGTGTGTAAGTATGAAATTATAATACCCACAACCAACGCCACCACCTTACAGCCACCTTCACTGTGCCCACACACGACTGAAATGAAACCTGCCACCCACATATTTATTCCACTCCACCCAATACCTGAATCAACACAAACCCCAAACCCCCATCATACCACCAACTATATCATTAACCAAATGGATTACCATAGCATCAATGACATATAGAGCACATCTCTCTCTTTCATAGATATAATTGGGATAAAATTCTATCAAATCAAGAAGATATTTATTTCAAAGCAAGAATAACAATGTTGTGAGGTAAAGTTGCTAGGAATATTTATCCAAGTGGTGGGTAATGATGGCCGAACAAGCATAGTGAATATTTGATTTTTAACCATCTAGGATTTTAGGAGATCGAGGTCACAACTTTAAAACTTTTTAAGATTATTTCTAAGTCAATACAGTGATGCACATGCATCAGAATTATTCATTGTATAATTCAAGAAAACCATCTTTCACCAAAATTAGTACTACAATATCCGAAAACGTAGAACCCGGCACAGGAATGAAAATCGAATGAGGTGAGATATCGCATATAACCCAGAGATGAATTTATCCTAAGTATGAACCCAGTTTAAATTATTTACGAAAAAAATAAATCATAAGATTACACTAAATCACTACCCTGATGAACATGAAGAAGAAATATTCATTGTATAGTTCCAAAGAAAACCATCTTTCGCCAAAAAATGGTACTAACATAGCCCAAAACGTAGAGCCTGGCATCGGTGTGGTGCAGCAAAATGAAAGTAGACTCGAGGTATCGCCAATAACCCAAAGTGGAATGCATCCTAAGTGTGAACCCAATTAAAATTGCTAAACGAATCATAATATTACAGTATACCCAGTGGCATGATTAGGAAAATATCAATTCCCATTCATTTTAAAGCAAATAATTTCTCATTTCTTTCTGCATTCTTTCACCAAAGCAAAATTACTCCACAATAACCACATCAGATAAGAAACAAAATACTCATTACAAAATTGAAACAGGAAACAAACTGAATGCTCAAATTGCTGCAACAACTAAAGAAACGATAACACGATAAGTGTGAGTGAGGAAACACACACGTGTGTTTATGCACAAGGAGAGAGATATAGACATAGCGAACGAGTGGAGAAAAATATTACCAGAAAAAGAGTGCTTCCTCAGAAAGACTGAGAAATTAACATTACTTCGTTCACCGTGAGAGCTCGACCCAGGCAACTTGTACACCGATGGAACTGTGCTAGGCAAGCGAGACCCAGATATAGTATAAACCATTTTTAGTGTTTTTCGATCGAAAAAATAGAGAGAGAGATAGATGATCTCTCAACGAGATCTAAAGCGCTGAGATCAAGGCGCCAAGAGAACCGTGACGAAGTAGAGAGAGAGAGAAGCGTGAGGACTAGGAGAGTAGTGCCAAGACACCAGTTGGGGGGTATGCGAGACGGGTGTTGCGCTGAAGTGCATGGGGATAGGGACTGCAGGTGGTCCCGTTAACGCTCTCTCTACCGCCAATTCAATTTTTTAAGTTAGCAATTCTGGGCAAAGGCACGTGTGGCCCCCATCGTTACATTATAAAGATGAGAAACGAAAGGCTATCAACGCAAAGTAAAGTTTTTACTCTTTTTAATCTACTAGTAATAAAGGGAACCTTTTTATTTATCTTAAAGGTACTTTATAGTATATTCCTTCAAATATTCCTAGCCTAGCCTAAAATCAAGATATACCAACAAAAATCTTTTTCTTAATATGTAGATTATAATAATCATAGTGTAGCGGGTATATAATTAACTAAGTATTGAGTATGTTTTACCTCTAACCCTGTATGCAAGTATTGGATACGCAAGTGATGGAATTATGAAATATTGTTGTATGTAGATGAATCTATGTTGTTAATTTTACTTTCTGTATACAAATTTAGAACACTTACGCTATATTTTGATTGAAAATCATATAATAATCATAGTGGGGTTGATTAGTGAATATAATAAAAATTGCATATCAAAATAAAGTAAATAATAAATTAGGAAAATAGTAAATAATTGTTAAAATAAAGGGTGAATGCCAATTTTGCACCCTAAAAGTTTTTAGATTCTCAATTCACATCATTAAAGATTGAAATTTTTAAATTTTATGCTCAATCGCATAAAAAATTAGCATTGTGATATATTTTAATAAAACTAATTAAGTATTTTTTTTTATGAAACACTTAAAATGGAGTAATATACAAATAATTATGATAAAAAGAAGAATATGTAAAGACCACAACACGAATAACTGTTAGATAAAGCAATTTGTTTTTTTATTTTGAATCACATTATAATATTTGTAATTAATTAAGGGTGAAATTTAAAATATTAATCTTTTAGGGTGTCAATTAAAAATTTAAACATCTTTTTATTTTCAAAGTGTTATTCGCCTTAAAATAAATCAGGGCCCTTGTTAAAAGGCCAACAAACAGGCCCAACACCATTACCTTAAATTAAGTGAAGAGCCCATACTTCAAGTCCAACTGATTAAATCTAGGGCTCATTTTCTTGGGAGAAGAACAACAGCCTGTACCACTCAGGTCAGGACTCCTTCTGCAGCTGAGTCCTCATAGTTTTCCGTGTCCTTTACGGCGACATCTCCAGCGAGGTAAGATCTTAGCTTCAACCTCTAGCTATCGTGAATTTAGTGATTTCGAATTCAAGTATGTTATACACACACACACACACACACAACATGTACGCTGGTATATTGAATTGTATCTCCAGTTATGAAATGAATTAAACACAGACATGACAGTTTTTCCACCATTTTACCGTGATGAGTTTGTATTCTTTTGGTTTGTTTCAAATCAGTTAATCAGGCTTGCTTGATCTAGATTTTTTTTTTAAAAAAAAAATTGTATTCGTTTTATGCATTGGATTTAGTACCTGTTTTTGAAAATTAAGCATGAAAATTCAAAAAAGAGGTCGATTTAGTTGAATATCTGTCACAGTACTACTACTATTTTTTTTCCTTTTTCAAAACCTAAATTCTTGTTTTCTATTTTGTTTTACAGCAAATTAATTATTGACTTGAGTTAGAAATATATGGGAGCTACTAAGATGATGAGTCAGTAAATCTTAAATATCTGAAAAATTATCATATTTTGCAATTGTAAATGCTGTAGTGCCACTTAAGTTAGCTTGGGAATCAAAATTGCACGCTAAGATATGGGACCATCCCATCTTTCAGGTGGTCATGGGTACACGTGTCCTATACTCCCCCATCCCTGTGTTTTTATGCATGTCATATTATGTAAAAAAATCAGAACCATTTTTAACATGATGTACCCATCCCCTCTCCCGGGAGAGAAAACAATAAAGAAACAAGGGCCTAAGGTAAGAAGAACAAATTGGCTTAATTTGTTTAATTGCTCTTATATGTGGCTTATGTTGGGAAATTACCTATGTTGTGCAATTGATGTGTCAAAGGTTCAAATTTTCATATTATTCTTGCTGGTAGGGGTAGTGCATATAAGTCATTTGTGCGGATGGCCCAATCTTTGAACAGTTTATGCTATTTATTTTTCTCTTAGTCTAGCAGTAAAGGTTATATACATGTGTAACAAATAACAATAAAGAAAGAGATTTCCTTCCCTACTGTTTTGTTGTTGTCACAAGGTACAACCAATAATTGACGTGTTTTTTAGCTGGAGGATGGGTCAAACAATTGGCATTTCAACTATGAAAATGTAGCCTCAATTTGTACCCATTCTTCTGCCATATGATGCTCTTTCCTTGGTATTTTCTTTAAATTTGTGGATATCCTCAGTTCCTAACTAGAAGAATCTCTTCAGGAGTACAAACTAGCAATTTGTGGCGAGTATTCATAATCAGAAGTTTGAAAATGGTGGCATCAGAAGAGAACAGTGCCCTCTTTCCAATTTTTATATTGACTATAATGGCTCTGCCATTGGTGCCTTACACAATAATCAAGTTATGTCGTGCAGCCAGCAAAAAGGCCACGAGCATCAATTGTCCGTGTTCGGTTTGCTTCCGCTCTGGGAAATATCGCAAATCTATATTTAAACGGGTAATGTCCCTGTTCAACTGTTTTCTTTATATCTGGCAGAATTAAATTTTCATATTTCTTTTTAAATTTTTCAGATCTCAAACGTTTCAACATATAGTAACTTGACCCTTGTGCTTCTTTGGGTCATCATGGCGGTTCTTGTTTATTACATCAAACATATTAGCCGCGAGGTAATTGGTATATCATTGCTTAGTACTTGATTATCCATGTTTGCTTTGGTGGTGAACAACTCTAAGCATGTGGCACACTATCATGTTAGTCATGTCTGTGATAATGGAAGCACTTAATTGGTGGAAGTTTTGCTTGAAAAGAGAAATGTGATTCCATATAAGTAATATGAAGATGAATTGCTGATACTGTGGTACAGTATGGATATGAGTATCTTTATTTGTATCAGTAGATAAATTTTCACACTACAATATAAATCCTATATGTTTTGGAATATTTGTACAGTTCTTGAATTGTGTTACAAAGTTTCAGAATTGTTCATTGATGGTCGAGCTTTTTTGTGAGAAAGTTGTAATGGGATCATATCTATGAAGGAACATATTCGTTGACTCTCTTCCTTCTTTATGTTTTGTTTCTTTTTAATTGTTTAAGCTGCTCCTTATTATTGAAGACATTCTCTTGTGCTTCAGATTCAAGTGTTTGAGCCATTTAGTATTCTTGGATTGGAATCTGGAGCTTCAGATTCAGAAATAAAGAAGGCCTATAGGAGACTTTCTATTCAATACCATCCTGATAAAAATCCAGATCCAGGTTGAAGGTGTTCTGTGTGTACGTCTTATTTTTTATTTCTCGATCAAGATGGGAAGAAATCTGATGTTTTGCAGTGGTTTGCTCTTTGTAACTTTTCTACTATTTTTCCCCAGAGGCCCACACATATTTCGTGGAATACATTTCAAAGGCTTATCAGGCTCTAACAGATCCAATATCACGTGAGAACTTTGAAAAGTATGGGCATCCAGATGGCAGGCAGGTATAATTTCTTTTATTACAAGATAGGATGCAACCATCCATTTGTTGTTGTCCCTTTGGAAACCTGCAATTTGGCTTCACAGAAAGTTAACCTGGTTCTAAGCGAATTTCCTATTTTTGTTACAAGCAGGGGCTTCAAATGGGAATAGCCCTCCCTCAGTTTCTTCTTAACATTGATGGAGCATCTGGAGGAATACTATTACTTGGGATTGTTGGAGTTTGTATTCTTTTGCCCTTGATGATAGCCGTTGTATATTTATCAAGATCATCAAAATATACTGGAAATTATGTCATGCATCAAACATTGTCTGCGTATTACTACTTCATGAAGCCTTCTTTAGCCCCAAGGTATGCCATCTCTTTTGTTCTGTATGCTATTTGAAGTTATGAGGTAATTAAAGTAATTCACTCAATTGAATATTTGAAGCTATGAGATAATTAAAGTAATTCACTCAATTGAATGTTCAATTGCTAGATTTTGTTCACTAGACTTATAGACACATCTGATCATGCACTTCAGCTTTGTTCTTCCAGATTGTAGAGAAGTATGGATGCCCTTTCTTCACTTGTGTGACCTTTGTCAGTAAAGAGCCTCCGTTGGCTGTTTTAAAGCAGTCACTTTGTATATAACACACAAACCCCTATATATGTACTACGCATAAAGATGGCATTTTCATATATTATGCTATATTTATGGCTGGCTTTTTTGCGATAAATTTTGTTATTTTGCATGGTGAAGTAAAGAGGGAAAGAAGAAATTTTGGATTTTTATTGTTTTTAGTTGCAAAAGTTTTTCCCATGCAGGCTATATAGCTAATTTTACTTGTACATTTTGCGCTTATTTCTGTTAGTAACTTTTGCTAATAAAGAAAAAATCTGATGTAACTCTTAATACAGCAAGGTCATGGATGTTTTCATTAAGGCTGCCGAATACATGGAAATTCCAGTTCGTCGGACTGATGAAGAACCTCTGCAGAAACTCTTTGTGTTAGTGAGGAGCGAGTTGAATCTAGACCTTAAGAACATTCGGCAAGAACAAGCCAAGTTTTGGAAGCAGCATCCTGCCTTAGTAAAGGTGAGATGCATGCCATTTTTCAGCTAGGCCAAGAAACATCTTTTGTGGGTTGATTTTTGGGACTTCAAATTCACAATGCTTACTGCTTCTTTCATGCAGACAGAATTGTTGGTTCAAGCCCAATTGACCCGTGAGTCAGCTGCTCTATCTCCATCTTTGCAGCGTGATTATAGATGTGTTCTTGAACTTGCGCCTCGCCTTCTTGAAGAACTAATGAAGGTAATTTTACTTTGCTGAGACGCACCATAGATTTGATAGAAGCATATTTTTCCTTTTATTGTAGGTTTTCAATTTATTGTTACTAACAGGGTTGGTCATGAAATGTCTTTGTGTGCTATTATTTTCTGGAATTTTTTAGTGCTCATATTTCTAATATATATCTGTAGAGTCATTTCCGAATAATTTTAATTGGTGTTTTAGTATCTCATTAAAGTACTCCCATTTTGGACATCTGATTGTGGATATAGTTTTTTAAACTCTATATTGTGATATTGAACTTCTTCAGAATTTAAGTAAAAGAAAAGGACTTTGGGAATGTTATAAAACTTTGTAATGTGGTTTTTGATGGTAAAAGCGAGGCGGTATAAGGATTATGCAATCGTATTCATTTCTTGGATTCATTTTGGGCCTTGGTTTCTAAGTACTTTGAGGATATTCCCGTTTTTGGTATTATTCCCAGATGGAAAGCATCTTGTGGTGTGTACTGTGGTCTTTAGCTCCTAGTTAGTGCTATATACTGTTCATATGGTTTGTTTTGTTTTTCCAGTTGGATGAATTTTCCACCATTGTTTCAGGTTATGAATGATTTCCTATATTATGAATAAAATTCTGTATCATATAAAAAATGCAATAGTGTTATCTGCTTCTGATGCAGAAATTTTATGAAATCAACTGTCCTTGTGCCATCCTTCTAGAGTTTTGTGGAATTTTTAGTGATGATCCATTTAGTTTGCTTGTTGAGTGATATGTATTACATTACTTTCTTATTTAACAACATTTTACGGCTAGTAATATTCAATCCTTACTGTTTTTTGTTGCAAACCTACCAATTGAGCGGGTCCCTATTTTCATTCACGTGCTATACCTAACTTTACCCTGTTTCTACCCATAGTAAAGTCATGTCAAACGAAATGAGCAGGTTTGGGTTTACAACTGAGCTGACCCCCATTTTTATTCACATGCTATCCCAACTTCACCCTGTTTCTATTTTCTACCCATAGTAAAGTCATGTCAAATGAACTGAGCAGCTTAAGCTTTGGCTTGTCTAGAGCTCGTTTGAGCCCATATTTCAACAAGAAAGAAGTTGAGAATGTTTCCATTAAATTTGTTCATTGAACGAGACGAGCTTAGCTCCATGGTTACAGTCATATTTGGTCATGAAATCATCATGACTATGGTTATTGTGCTATATTGAAGGCAACTTTCAGATACAAAGTGATCTTTGTCTGGTGAGAAGATAATCTCATTTTAATAAAATAGATCGTGTACACATGCTTTGCACGAGGACTTTTTGAACTATGGTTTTGTTTCAATTAAGCTTTTAACTTGAAACAATCAAATAAACACAATAGCATACATACTTATAAATTAAACCATCTAATATTCCTTTTATATAATTTGTAATAGACGTACACTACATTTTTTTAGAATAAATATTGGTTTTTTTTTTTTTAAATTATTAACTCTTAAAGTTTTGATATACTATCCCTAAAGTTTAGAACTGTTCACTTGAAGATAATAATTTAGATTAATTTTATTTGCGTTATCATAGTAATTGGGATAAATACATTTTGTGGTATGCAAGTATATATAATTAAAAAGTATTGCAAACACTTATTAAGTTATGAAAAATACTAAAGAGAAACTATTTTTAAGTTACAGTGGTCATCTAATTGTAAACAATTGGTAAGCAAATTTAAGAAGTTAAGTTAGGATAAGTAAATTAATATAATACTGAACATTTATAGCATTGCTAACCGATACAAATAGAATGGGTTGTAGTATTGCCATGGAACATAACTAAAGAGGATGAAATGTAAAAGAGAAGAAAATGAAAAGTCAGGGTTTGCTAATTTTATCCAAGTTTTATTGAAATAAAACTTATGTACTCTAGGGCCTTTTTACAATTTCATTTGAAAATTAAAAAACTTGTCATCAACTAATAAAAGATAAACAATCATGAATAAAAATAAATAGACATGAATAAAAATAAATTTAATTATTTTAATAGTTAACTTTTGCCTTTTAATAGAAAGAATATGAAAAGCTTGGATATGTGTAATATTAATGTAGTTGTATTAGTATGAATTCCATATTAATAATGTTAGTATTGTCTTTATTGTTTGAAAGTATTGTCTTTATTGTTTTGAGTAAAGTTGTCCAACTAAAAGTTTAACATTAATCAAGTTCTATTAATATGAGTTCTACATTAAATAAGGCTAGTACTGTTTTTATATTTTGTTTTCGTTAAAGTGGCCCATCAAAAGTTTTTCTTAATACTGTACTTTTATTAGTAGTATAGATAGATATTGGTTGATCCACTCACTTGAAAGCTTTGACTTGGTCTCTTAGTAGACAAATGTCTCTTTATGCTATCATTTGATTACTAAGGAAAAGACAATTGCCTGCTTTGCGTATTTGACTAAAGATCAGTGAACAGTAGAAGCACGGTTACTGAGAGTTTTAGTTGGGAATTCATGTTGACTTTCAAATACATGCCTGTCTTGAACATCCATCATCTTTGCATTTTGTCACATGAATTGACAATTACTTTGACCAAAAATAAAAAATTGACAATGACTGGCATGTTGCAAAGTCCAATCTAAGCCTGAACAGCAATGTCAAACTGTGTTTGAAAAAAAACCGGCTTTATCTTGTGTCCAACCAAGCTTAAGCGCAACCTTTGTTTCACCTGAGCTGGCTATCGAGACCCTAGGAAACTTGGCCACAGTTCAGATTGTCCACATACTTATTACGTTTTGTACCAATTCCTGCAACCTGGTTCCAATCCCAGTACTTAGATGTAGGCCCACCATTTAGGATTTTTAGAAACTTCAGATTAAATATCAGCTCTGCTTGGAGAAGTATATAATGGCATGAAATTTATGTGGTGACTATTGTAGGCCTCTATCGCCCTTCCCTTCCCTTCCCCCTCCCTATGTGGCAGGGGCTTGCTGGCCACATATTGTTCACTTTGTGCTCTAAAAATTTGGGGCTGTAAAACAAACAAGCTACTCGAGCTTGGCTCTTGATTTGCTTGGTTAGAGATTTGCTTTTAATTGACTTGGAAGACAAACTAGCCAAGCTTGACAACATACTTAGAGTTCATCAAACTTGACTTGGTATGCCATCAAGCATTTTATGACATATAAAACCTATGTACTTAGTCTCAACTTTGGATCGGCTTGGTTGGAAGCTTGCTCAAGATCGACTAGTGATAGAAACAAGCCAAATTTGATCTTCATTGGGAGCTTATTAAATATATCTGCCATGCTGGAGCAATCCACAATTTGGTTCAATTTAACTCATTTGCACCCCTAAAAATGCTTGCATCCTTTGTTCTTATGTGTTCCTTTGTTCATCCAGATGGCAGTTCTACCACGCAACCCACAGGGACATGGATGGCTGAGACCTGCAATTGGGGTCATTGAGCTTTCTCAAAGTTTTATTCAGGTTTTTGATTCATTTATTCTTAATTTCAGATCGTAGCGTAACCTGAATAAAAGCACCCCATAGGCCGTTGTGTTAGTACCTCTCATTATTTGGCCGCTTGGTACTGTGTATTGTCTTGCTAAAATGCTGGCTGGTTTATGCTTGAAAGCATGTCCTTGGGACTGAGATGGTGTCCTTAAGATCATTTAGTGGCCTAAACTTCGTACAAGTTGATGGCCTCTACTTCCATTTATGAGATTCGGACCTCCCATTTTGTTGAAAATCTGTGATGCCAGCAATTGGCTTTTTTGTGTGACTGTAGATGTTGTCATTTTCTTGTATTTGGCTAAGGGTTTTTATTCATACTGTTAGCCCTAGTGTGAGGTTTTGCTTATCTTGAAAACATTGTGATGCAGGCAGTTCCACTGAGTGCAAGAAAAGCAACAGGAGGATCCAGCGAAGGATTTGCTCCTTTCCTGCAGCTCCCACATTTCAGTGATGCTGTTGTCAAAAAGATTGCAAGAAAGGTTAGTGAATGTTTCCTCCTTGTATTCTGTTGTTGCAAACAGTGAGTCATTCAAGTGAAAGAGTATATCTGCATTTTATAGTGTTGCCTCCATAGTAGTTTAGTGTATAATTCTTGTTTCCAGCCCATTTTGTGTTTGATTGAATGTGAATGCCAATCTGGTTCATTTTTTTAGATAGAGCACCACACTAGCATTATTTTTTCCTTGGTTGTGTTACCTCACCATGGAGCTCAGATATTCCAGTCTGCTTACTCATGCCCTTCTATTGCTGGCTCTCTATTGCAGAAAGTGCGCACGTTTCAAGAGCTTCGAGACATGACACCAGAAGAGCGTACTGAACTGCTGACCCAAGTTGCTGGGTTCTCTGCTGCTGAATCCCAAGATGTGGAGATGGTTCTCGAAATGATGCCTTCCATAACAGTTGATATCTCATGCGAGACAGAAGGTGAAGAGGGAATACAAGAGGGTGACATTGTCACCATGCATGCTTGGGTCACTCTCAAGCGCGGGAATGGCTTGGTTGGTGCCCTTCCACATGCTCCATATTTCCCCTTCCACAAGGAAGAGAATTTCTGGTTGCTGCTTGCAGACTCTGTCTCAAATGAGGTGTGGATGTCCCAAAAGATTAACTTCATGGATGAAGCTACGGCTATAACTGCTGCATCGAAAACAATTCAAGAGTCAAAGGAGGGGTCAGGTGCTACATTGAAGGAGATAAACGTAGCCGTTAAAGAAGCAATTGAAAAAGTGAAGAACGGTTCAAGACTGGTAATGTGCAAGTTCCAGGCCCCTGCTGAGGGAAACTACAACCTGACTTCTTACTGTTTGTGCGACTCTTGGATTGGTTGTGACAAGAAAACTAGCTTGAAGTTGAAAGTCCTGAAACGAAGCAGATCAGGGACAAGGGGTGGTGCCATCCTAGACGAGGGACCGGCCGTGGAGGACAGAATTGAGGAAGAGGAGGAAGATGAAGAAGGATATGAGGATTATGATAGTGAATATAGTGAAGATGATGAGGATGCGAGAGACACGGAAAGTAAAGGGGCTGTGGCCAATGGCACCACCCATGTTAGGGGCAGTGGTTCAAGCTCTGACGGTTCGGGCGTTGAGGAAGATTAAAAGGTTCCTTTTGTTTTCTTATTTTTCCTTTTACATTTTCATTTTTATTTTTAAGGAAAGAGAGGGAAGGATTGGAATGAGTTTTGGTTCATTTGTCTTGTATTAACCTTTTCGATATCACCTGGAAACCTTACCAAACATATGAAACAACATATAGTTACTCAAAGCTGTTACTGTACTCTCATCTCACATGACTAGTGTGTACGGGCAGATGAAATGAATAGGGTATGCATGGGTTTCCCAAAGGTGTTGATGTACAATTGCGTCCGACAAGTGGGCAAGGCAACGGTACTCGTTCATTCAGAGATCTAGTATTTTCCTTTGGGGATAATTTCACTTTACGCCTCAAAAGATGTTTGAATTCTTAATTTATATCCTTAAACATTAAAAATTTTAATTTATACCATCAATATTATGAATTGGTCGTAATGTGAATTTTGCACAGATTGTTGTTCAATTTTTTGCCATAAATTGAAGTACCTGAGTTACTAAGTACTTCAAACATGAGTTTTTTTGTAAATTCACAAATTGTTGACACCTCTGGTGTGTTTGGATGTTCGAAAAGGATTGGATAGGATATCAAATTTATATCCATTTCTACCCATGCCTAACCCACCATTCACTTGCATTGGTTTGGATATATGTCCTATCAGATGTTTGGTAAGTAATTTTTCATTTTTGTGAGACTCACAAATACAAATGATAACAAAAACATTATTTAGGTTAACTTGACCATTTTACCCCTTAACATTTTTTTGGGGGAAAAACCTCTCCAACAACAAACATCAATTTACATCTACAACCATCCATGTCCCAGCCACATACACCTTCGTCCAGAACCATCCATTTCCACCTCCCCTAACCCTCTCTCTTTCTCTCTATTTCCATGGCATTTGGTAACTCACACACACAAAATATATATATATATATATATATATATATATATATATATATATATATATATATATATATATATATATATATATATCAACTTATATATAAACTCACACATGTTGATTTTTTTGTAAATCAACCCATCCCCAACCACAATTCACCCTTGACCTTTGTCGTAATTGTATACCAGTCAAGCACAAAGAGAGAGAGCGACAGACCAAGATGGCTTGAAGTAGCATCTCGTTCGCTTTCATTGTCGCCTTCACAAAGTGACCAAACCCAGAAACAGCTTGAAACAAGTGAAACGAGAAATGAGAGGGATAAATATGTCATTACACATATAAAACCTATCAATTGAGATGTAACCCAGGGGAGAGGTGGGTTAATTTTAACCGGGGCTAATATTTATTATAACACTCGGGTTATGCTTGGACCCAAGATATATAACGTACATCATTTTTGTCTTCCCAAACAAAGTATTTGTAGGTCCTATTGTATTGTTAACCTCTCCTTATTGTGGTAACCCACATTATCCCATTATCCAATCACCCCTCGTGTTGTTGTACACAATAGGATTAACTTTTATCTGATTAATGCAATCTTATTTTTTGATACACAAAACGGTGTCAAATTGATTGCAAACGAAAATCTTTAGTGATGAACATACTTTATTCTCATGTTCAAAACACTTACACTTTAGTGCTACAATTTATAACATAAAAATGAATGACAGTTTGGATCAAATCTACATTACTACTAATTCATAACATTGAGGGTGTAAATTAAAATTTTTAATGTTTAAAGGTACAAATTGAGTGAGATTAACCCTTACCTTTGTTGTGCGTGTTGGGAAGCAATTTTAGTTGTTGAAGATGCTGAAGCATGGAGTTGCCCAGAAGTTGGTGATTCTTGTGGTGTTACTTTCAGCCTTGTTTTAATCTGTGATTAGATACATCGACGGGAAATTTTCGATTCAAAAATGTTTATAGTGATCCAAATTAGGCCAACCCCTTCAAATCTTGCAGTGGTGGAATGCTCAGTGCACTGAAATGTGTTTTTAAAAAGAACTAATGACAGACATAATTTAAGAACATAATGAATTGTCACCATTCGATTGATAGTAAAATGCATTAAATACTACAATGAGACCTATCATTAAATGCATTCCACTATCAATCTATTTGGTGATAATTCATTATGTCCCCAAATTATGTTATAAAAACATTACTCTTTTAAAAATTATCCACGAGTAATACTATTTGAACTTAAAAATCTAATCTCATTTACTAACTTGATGCTTCTTGCACATCTACACCAAGTATTGGATCCATCAGATCAAGTGACAAATGTCATCGGCCTTCATGGAGTCGATTTAGGATGGATCCAAAAACGTTGAGATTAATACCAACTTTTTAGGCACTATTCCCAAATTTTGGATCTCGTTGGGTCATAACTTGAGTCCGAATTTTTTTCAATATGACCCCAAAAAGTTGATTTTTTCTTACTAAAGAAAAATGCTAAATATTGGGCTGACAGAACTAACGAATATGTCACACCATTAAAATCCGTATATTGTGTCATCAAGGTTATGGAGATAGTTTGGAGCCACTCACTGTAAGTTACTTGTATGTTGAGCAGAGCTTGTAGTCACTCGTTCCTCGCTTGTTCCAATGCTAATAAAGAGCTTCAAATCTGATTCTACACTACATACTATATTCCATTTTGGCGTCAGATTAGTAACAAGTGAAATGACATGATCCCTTCATGGCTGTGTGAAAGAAAGGGTTGCAACATGAAAGAAAGGGTTGCAACATGCCAATTAATCCAGGCTCTTCATTCATTTTTTGTTTACTTGTGCTCGCGGTACGATGTTTTTGAAGGCGGTAGATGCTATATTAGAAGTGAAGGATGCTACTCAATCCTTCTGACTGGCACAGATGATTGTCTTCTTTTGTGATGAAGGTAGAAGAGGCGTAGTGCAAGTTCTCACTGATAATGTTGCTCACTCTTTTTTTTATGTTACAGCAGGCAAGAAATTAGAGCACCAGTCACCGTGTTCCACTCATTGTATAGATTGACTGTTAGGGGACATTAGACACCGGGTGAAGAACTTAGACATTGGTAAATACTTGATCTCACAATGAGACGTGTGAGGCAAAAGCATCTTCACTTGAAACTATGTCGCGAGAAGTTTTTTATGTACTCAAGTGCTTTGGAGTTCCTTGAACATGAATATCAGTGTTTGTAGTTATGTTCACTGATGGTACAAGTTACCTCTAACACATTCACTAACTACATAACACAATAGGACTCCTTCCAAAAGAGGGAGCCAACAAGATTCTAATAGCATTCTATACTTGAAAACAACTCATAGCTGATATGGGAAAGCCATTAAATAGAACACAGAAAAGGTGGGTACAAAATAAGCCAAACTCACTTAGATCTGCACTGGTTGACAAGGAATGTGTTCCATGTCTCAAAGTCCTTCACTAAACCGGGAAGCAGGTCGATACTGATTTATGAAAATCGATGCAGTGACTCAAATTTATCATGCCTGTTAAGTTAAGAGAATTAATATAACACAATATTAGAGACATTATTAGGGAGAAAGAGAAAGGTTAGAAAACTTAACCTAACTCTCATACATAACTTGTATTTATAGTTAACTTACAATAATAATAATAACACATACATCCCTTTTACTATTAACAATTTACACATACTACTACTCTATTATTTTTAACACTCCCCCTCAAGTTGGACTATATATATCATATAATCCAAGCTTGGAACAAATAGTTGTAAGACGCGTATGACTTAATGCTTTGGTAAACATATCTGCAAGCTGATTTTCAGATTTCACAAATAGAGTTGTAATCTCCCCGGCTACTATTTTGTCCCGAATAAAATGACAGTCAACCTCAATATGCTTAGTTCTTTCATAAAACACAAGATTGACAGAGATATGAATAGCTGTCTGGTTGTCACAGAACAACTGTAAAGGAAGTTGAACTGAAAAATCAATTTCCTGGAGGAAGTGTTGTAGACAAGTCAACTCACTTATCGTATATGTCATTGCCCTATACTCAGCCTCAGCACTGGATCTTGCTACCACGGGTTGTTTCTTACTTTTTCATGAGACAACATTACCTCCTAGGAAAGTACAATAACCAGTGGTTGATCTCCGATCAGAAGGAGATCCAGCCCAATCAGCATCTGAGAAACCTTCCACTCTAAGATGTCCATTAGCTTGATATAATAGTCCAAGTCCTGGAGCTCGTTTGAGATATCGCAGAATACGAGTAACAGCCTCCCAATGTGGTACTTTAGGACATCCCATGAACTGACTTACTATACTGACTGCATAGGAAATATCCGATCGAGTAATAGTGAGATAATTAAGCTTCCCAACCAATCTGCGATACCGACCCGGATTTTCAAATAATACACCATCATCCATCAATAATTTCTGATTCGGATCCATAGGGACATCAATCGGTCTACCACCCAGCAAATCTGCTTCCTCAAGCATGTCAAGTACATATTTTCTCTGAGATAAACAAATACCATGTTTAGATCGAGTCACCTCAATACCCAAAAAATACCTAAGTTTTCCTAAATCCTTAGTATGAAATCGATCCTGTAAAAATAATTTTAACTTGGCAATCCCCTCAGAATCATTTCCAGTAATCACAATATTATCGACATAGACCACCAATAGGACATACCCAGCATCTGTCTGCCTATGAAACACAGAATGATCTGTTTGACATCGAAGAAGACCAAACTCTAAACTGCATCTGAAAACTTACCAAACCATGCCTTCGGTGACTGCTTTAAACCATACAAAGATTTTTTTAATCGACAAACACTCTTACCAGACTCCCCCTGAGCAGTAAACCCAGGTGGCTGCTCCATGTAGACCTCTTCAACCAAATCACCATGTAAGAAGACATTCTTGACATCTAACTGAAACAAGGGCCAGTCAAGATTAGCAGTCAAAGAAATCAAGATACGAACAGAGGAAATTTTAGCAACAGGAGAAAAAGTCTCCTCATACTCAACACCATGAGTCTGAGTGAAGCCCTTTGCAACAAGTCGGGCTTTGAGACGCTCTACAGAATCATCTGGATGAAATTTAACAGCATACACCCAACGACATCCAACAGTTCGTTTACCAGAGGGTAAAGGGACGAGATCCCAAGTTCCATTATGATGTAAGGCATCCACTTCCTCCTCCATAGCTTTCCTCCAACCCGGATCAGATAATGCATTCTGTAAATGCTTAGGAATAGATATAGCAGATAATTGGAAAGTAAAACAGGAGAAGACAGGTGACAAGGCATCATATGAAACAAAATGAGAAATATGATTATTAGTAACACACGAACGAGTACCTTTGCGAAGAGTAATAGGTAAAGAATCTAAATTACTTGATGTTCCTAGATCAGAAGGCGACAAGGAAGACGGTACGGGTACTTCAGTCAATGGGTGAGGACGACGAAAATAGACACGGAGAGGTAAAGTAGGTGGTAACACAGTGGGCAGCGGAATATCTGATAGTGGTATAAAAGAGGAGCCAAAATCCAGATCCAAAGGCTGAGAGGGTGCTAAAAAGTATGGAACAAATTCTTCAAATGTGACATCCACACTAGTAAAATATCGGTGCAGAGAAGGATTGTAGCAACAATACCCCTTCTACGTGCGAGAGTAACCAAGAAAAACACATTTGGTAGCCCAAGGATCAAGTTTGTCAAATCCAAGACCCAAATTGTGAACATAACAGACACAACCAAAAACTTTAGGAGGAAGGGAAAATAAGACCTTACTAGGAAACAAAATAGAGTATGAACTTTGTCCATTTAACACAGAGGAGGGCATATGGTTAATAAGATGACAAGAAATAAGAACAACATCACTCCAATGATATCGAGGAACATTCATCTGGAATAACAAGGCACGGGTGACTTCCAACAAATGGCGGTTCTTTCGTTCAGCAACACCATTTTGTGGAGAGGTGTAAGCACAAGAAGTCTGATGAATAATGACAGTTTTACTAAGATAAGCTGAAAAATGATCAGATTCATATTCACGAGCATTATCGGAACGTAAAGTACGTATACGACAACCAAACTGAGTTTTTATTTCTTTACGAAATCTCAAATATAGAGAATAATTCAGACCGAGCTTTCATAAAAAATAACCAAGTCACACTAGAATAGTCATCCATAAATGTCACAAAATAAGGATATTTATTAGATAAAATATTCTTTATTGGACCCCATACATTAGAATGAACTAATTCAAATGGACTAGACACACTATTATTGACTCTAGACTGAAATGACACACGATAATGCTTACTAAGTTGACAAGCTTCACAAGACAAAGATGACACATAACTAAGACTAAGAACTTGGCGTTTTAGATTCTAGAGAGAAGGATGTCCAAGACCACAATGCCATTGAAAAACAGACAACGAGGTCTGTAAAGCTCAGGTAGATGAATCAAAGTCAAGGTAATATAGGCCACCAGCTTCATACCCCGTACCAATCTTCCTCTTCGTCTTGAGATCCTGAAAGACACAATAAGAGGGATAAAAAATTACCAAACAATTGAGAGAACGAGTAATCTTGCTAATGGAAAGTAAACTAAAAAGAAACTGAGTAACAAATAACACGAAAGATAGGGACATATCAGGACTCAAGTGAGTAGTCCCCAGACTTGAAACTTTAGAATAAGTACCATTAGCAAGAGTAACACTACGTGCAGAAATAGCAGACTGATAAGTAGAGAAAACGTCAGACGCACCAGTCATGTGGTCAGAGGCACCAGAATCTATGATCCAAGGGTTGCGGGTGGAAGACATTAAACATGTGGAAACAGTACCTGACTGGGCAAAAGTAGCAGTGGAGGGAGATGAAACAGCTTGTTGCTGGGACAGGAACTGAGCATACTCCTCTCGACCCAGTGTAATAGTAACTAACCCAGTGTCTGGTAGAGCTGACCGAGGTATGGAAGCAACAATCGAGGTGTCATCCTGATAAGAAGCCTGATTAGCAGTACCAGAGGGTTTTCCTTGTAAATCCCAACAGAAATCAACAGTGTGTCCTCCACAGCGACAGTGAGTACAAGAACGAGATCCATTACGACCTCCACGACCACCCGTACGACCTCCTGTACGACCTCCGCGACCACCTCGATGACCATCACTATGGTTATTAGGAACTACAAGAGCTGAGCGATCAGTGGAGACACCATGATCAATTACTGAGGTAGTAGATAGTGTAGCACGCTATAAATGAGAGAAAACCTCCAGCAGTGATGGAAGACTAGATCCACCCAAAATCTGAGAATGAATAGCCTCATATTCAGGTTTCAATCCAACCAAAAAACGAACAACATTCAGGTCCTCATGTTGCTTTTGCCAAACTGCTGCATCAGTAGTAAACGGATGGTAAGTTTTCATCTCTTCACAGACTCCCCAAACATGAGAGTAATAATCCGCAAGGCTCAGAGTACTCTGCTCCAACCGGAAGTACTCCTTGCACATCTCATACGCACGGGTAAAATTACCTGTACCAGAATACATAGTGGCCAAGTGATCCCATATTTCTTTGGTAGTATCAAGATAGAGCAGAGAGGAGCTAATATTGGGCTCTATGTTATTCAACAATAAAGAAATAATCTGAGCATCCTCTTGTTTCCACTGATCATACCCCGGACTGTCCTCCTTGGGTTTAAAACCCACCAGATATTTCTTAAATCCTTTTCCTCGAAGAAAGACTTGAACAGATCGTGACCATAAAGTATAATTAGTCCCATTGAGTTTGACAGAAGTCGTGAGACCAGTGATAAGAGTAGGAGGAGGCAACACAGGATTTTTGGGTTCCATAATAATGCAGCAAATAGCAAAGTAGATAGCAAATAAGAAGTGTTGCAGGACTGAACTGGACAGGAGAAGCCCACTTGAAAGCTGAACCAAACTGAAACGGGTCTGGATCGGTCTGGACCGGTTTGGCTGGACTTGATCAGGATACTGAACCGGGTCTGGACTGGACCGGGTCTGGACCGGTATGGCTGGAACAGATCTTCTCCTTCGTTGGTTAGGGTTTCTACCAAACCCTATGCTTTCACTGTTGAACACCACCACAGCACCGAACACCACCACACCACAACACCGGACACCACCAAAACACCTCCACACACCACCACGAAGATAGGCGACTACACCACGACGAACAATCGCCACCATGAAGACAGTCGACTGCCTTCACTGTTGAACACCACCATAACGCCGAACAGCAGCACAGCGTCGACTACCACCAACGTCAACCACACCAATCAACTACCACAAGCCACCACCGTCGTCGCTGTTGAACACCACCACGACGCCGAACAGCAGCACACCATCAACTACCACCAGTCGACCACACCGATGGACTACCACAAGCCACAACCAAATAAAAAAAAATTCGATGAGCAGTACACCGATCGACTACCATCAACAGTAACAGCACCGAGATTAATGCTCTGATACTATGTTAAGTTAAGAGAATTAATATAACACAATATTAGGGAGAAAGAGAGAGGTTAGAAAACTTAACCTAACTCTCATACATAACTTGTATTTATAGTTAACTTACAATAATAATAATAACACATACATCCCTTTTACTATTAACAATTTACACATACTACTACTCTATTATTCTTACCAATGCCAAATCATCAGTATCACGACCAATCTTCATTGATGGTAGCACAACTGCAGCTACCGGATTTTCTTCTAGTCCACCTCCTTGATCAATGATCAACCTAAGGCCTTCAATGTGAAGCTTTGCATGGTGACCACTTACTACAATAGTTGGACTTTTAGTCAATTCCTGTTACATTTCAGCCATCAAAATTACGAATGTATTGCACGTTATCAGGATGATATCTCATAAACTCAGCTCTTTAAAGCCACAGTTCATTCCATGAACAAGAAATAAAATTGAATGTGCCTCAACCAAAAGCAAGCCATAAAAGATCAAAAAGTTCCCAATTTGGATAAGCATACAGGAGACAGTGAGCAATCACCTCTGGAATGTCCCATACTGATTTCCTTCCGCTAAGAGCTTCCACTTTAGGAATCCTCGTGTCCTTCGCTTTCAGAAATTTCAGCTGCTCTTCTACTCCTTTACCTTTCTCCAAACCAGCATGCACAGCAATCAATTTGCAGTGCTTAATCCCTTCCTCAGTCTCTATGCAGACATTGTCCTAGGAAAAATGAACAGGAATTGCATAGCTTCAGCTCCATTCTCTGTAATTGACATGAAATTACAAACAACATGCCAATCTGGAGTCCTTTACCAGATTCAAATAATATCCCAATTCTTATCAATTGAAAGTTACAAAAGAACAGCAGAGAATACAAGCCTGACCTCTTCATGTACCCAAACCATATCAGCAAGAAACTTCTTGTGTTCATCAGGAACTGCCTTAAACAAATCTGTACACAATAACTACACTTCTAACCATTAAATTATCACAACTGAACTCACAAAGATAACAAACCAAAACTACTATCCAAATCGAACAAAGAATCACAGAAAAAAACCAATTTGACATTGAACAACTAAGAATCAATCTGAATCAAGACAAACCCACCAACAAGGCTACTTTGAACAACTAAGAATCAATCTGAATCAAAAAAGCCAACAACAAAACCGCCAACAATCATACCTGAAGATCCATGTGGAACCCCATAAGACTCAAAAGTCGGCCCAGCATCATAAATCGAGCCTTGATACTCGGTCCCCTTTACAGCATTGAACCGAACTGTAATTTTCCCAGCCCACCTCCTCCCTTGCAGATGCATCTTCTCATACCCATCACCCTTATACCACCCTTCTCTCTCCTCACTGGCTTTATACTCATCCCAAGTCTCAGAAAACTCCGACCCATCAGGTGGCACAGGAAGAAGCCCCATGAATGCAGCAAATGCGAAATCATGGTTCCCTGAGAGAAAAACATGGGATTGTTTTGGGTATTTTGATGGCAAAGAAATCAAAAAATCGATCACCTTTCGCGTATCCGGACCACGATCACAGTAATCACCCAAGAAAATAATCAGAGCTGTTTCGAAATCAGATGGTTCTATTAAGGTTTCGAGATTGGACCACAGTTTCTGGAGTTTGTGAATGAATCCATGGACATCACCTATACAACAAACTACTCTTTCTTTTGTGGGTTTTCGATCTTGAGCAAGACCCACTTTGCCTTCCATGCGTGTGTGTGTGTGTGTGGGCGGTCGCTGCCTGAGATGAGGAAATTAATTGTATCACAGAGAATGAGTCAGAGTGAAAGGTTGGTTGTCCAGCATTTCTTGTGAGCTTTATAGTCGCCAATCTGAGGTCGAGATAGGAAGTTTTGCAGTTAGTCCCTACGTTGTTGCCATGTTAAAAACTGGCACTCTGTTTTTGCTTATTTGAGAAAACATCCCTAACCCCTTTTTTCAGTTTATATTTAAACATCAGTGAGACGCCCCAACCATTTAATCACTATTTCTAACATAAAAAAAAATCATATAAAATACTAAAATTGCCCTTATATAAATCCCAAACATTCTATATAAAATTTGAACCCATTAAAATTTATTTTTTTACCTATTAAAATTTGAGTCGATTAAAATTTGATTTGAGCTGATTAAATTTTATTTTTTTTACATATTGAAATTCGAACCGATTTGAGCTCAATCTAAACTATTAGCGTTGATTAAAATTTGATTCGAATTGATTAAAATTTATATTTTTTTACTTATTAAAATTTTTACAAATTAAAAAGCAATTCAAATTAATTAAAATTCATTTTTATGTATTAAAATTTGAGTCGATTAAAATTCAAATTTTTTTACGTATCAAAATTCGAGTTTAATAGAATTCAATGCGGGTTGATGAAAATTTGATTTGAACCGATTAAAAATAAATTCTAATCAGTTTGAATCGAATTTTAATCTGCTTAAATTTTACTATGTAAAAAAATTTATAAAATAGAAAAAGTCTCATTGAAGATATGTCTATCTAGAGAGGGTATGAATGAAGTTTTTCTTAAAATATATCATGAATAATTTATAAAAATTGTATTCTAGTTAAGACCTTTAATTAGATGGATTGTGACTAAAATTTTCTCAAAATATTTTTATTAGCTAGTGAGTATTTGGTGTAGACATGTTGCCAATAAACTTTCATATGATAATAGAAAATTGGAGAATTTTTTCTACATAAGTGGATGACGAATCACGAAGATAAAAATTTCTGACGGACCATGTTTCTAGAAAAAATATATTTTTGAGGGATTCAAAGTAGGTGTGTGTGTTAACTTATATGTAAGTTGATCATTCCATAAAGAAACAAATTAGGCAAATAGGTTATTAAGCATGTAAGAAGATTTGAATGAGAAAAAAAAAAAATTCTAGTTTTTTTTTTCATTTTGGTTGGAGGGAGGGGGTTGGAGAAAGGGTAATATTATTTTCACATGTAATTGAAAATCGATAACGCGACTCTAGTTTTAACTAATGAGAATACGAGAGACCTACTTTGATTATCCTGGTTTTCCCTTGGCCACAAGGAGAACATTTTCACCGTATTACAAAATTTGCTGGTCAGTGCGAAGAGATGCAATTTTGTAAAATGTTGTGCTCGGAGATGTTTGCCTGATCTTGCTCTTTTTGGTTGAATTGGGTGGCAAGTGACAATGTTGCCTTGTTTTAAGTGACTTATAATCCAGAACCATTGGTAAATAGTTCGTAGTTTGAATTGGGAAAACCAACAAATGAAAGTGTTTTCATTGAAAGGTCATAGACCATGTGCATACTTCCCCCCCACCCCCCAAAGCTATGAAAACTGGTTTCTGTCGTTCTTCAGAAATAATTGTTTCCCAGAACTATTTGAAGAGCTCTCTGTATTCACAACTATATATGAATTCATATATAGTTGGCACTTGCATAGTTTCTAAGTTGCAAAAACTGCAAATTCTTCATACAATCAAGATTCAAAAATACCTTTTTAACATTTCAAGTGTTCATACGCATTTATGATACATGAGTACAATCCAAACTCAAAGAATAGAAAGACAAGTATAAAGAGAATAATGAAAGGCGGTGCCACTGCGCTGGGGGGGGGGGAAGGGGGAGGGAGGGTTGTTTAAAGAAGAGGCAACTGCCTTGTTTACACACTCTTGACTACCTGCAGAATTGAGTTCTTGGTGTATAGATAAATTCACATTACCCTGTTAGGTTAAAAATAGCTGGCTGGTTATCTCCTTTGGAAATTCAAGAACTTGATCCCATAGGCAAAGACAAAGAAGAAGAGAAGGACCCAACCAACATGGGCTACAGCGACGGCTGGAAGGAAACCATAGTCATAACCCAAGTTTTTTTTAAGGAAATCCTTCACTCTCATAGAATCAGTTCCGGGAACATCCACTGGAGTAGTTATGTCACCCACTTGTGAGGCCACAAGGCCATAAACTGTCCACGCGACGGGAGAAGCCCAATAGTACCACCTCCACCATATAGGTATTTGCTGTAATAACAAAAAAAAGTCAGTTTGGAAGATGAATGACATTCAAGTTTTCGAAACTGTATTGTAGTATTAAGAAAAAAAAATGGCCAAAAACATAACATACCGGCCTGGGAATGACGAAACCGGTAAACAAGTTCCAGAAGCTAAGAAAGAAGGACATCATAATGGCAGCAATTTGGGCACCTGGAGTAAGTGCAACAAGCATCATTCCGAAAATTGTGAAGTAGATGTAGCACATTGATATGTAGTAGTAGAACCAAAAGAATTTGGCCACTGTCCACTGGAACCCAATCATCGAGAACAGAAGAAGAGTGTACACCATGGTTTGGATTAAAACATAGACCGTTTCGATGGCCACCTGCATAACATACAGTGGTGTTATTTTGCAGTTCAATAAAAGGTTTCTGTATTGTCCTCAAATTACTAAATATTAGGGATAATGTTGTCACCACTTTAAATAAAGAATTTCATGTCTTTTAACTCAAAATATGAGCGCCTGCACATGGGAAAACAAGAACATAATAAGGTGGAATGTATTGTGTTTACCTGAGCAAATGCATAAGGCAATTCTGAATACATCCCGGCTGCCCTTTCACGGTAGAAAACAGTTCTCTCAATAGCCACAATTGCTTGCACTGTGGCAGCATTGGTGGATCCAAGAAAAAAAGTAGCGGAGTACATAGCTCCCAACAGATTCATTAGATCTTGTTGTTTTTCTCTGTTAACAAAGTTTTTGGTCAACTTGAGTAGAAGTATTAGGTTCTCTAAAACAAAGAACTATACTACAAAATACAATATAGCCTCAAAATAATAAAATATGGACTTACATTTTCTGGCCCTTGTTCCAGAATATAACTCCAAATAGAACACCAATGATAATTGTCATGAAGAACCGAATGGCATTGTACTGTGGGTTCCTCCAGTAAGACCAATGCTGTTTCCAGAAACTTGCTTTGCACTGAACAAGAAACGGTTGGGAATACTTGGTTGGGAAATATAGATCTTTGGAACCAGGTGGTGGCATACTAAGTTCTTCTATAAGTTCTTGATTCCTCCTGAAACAATGTCCAGTGGCGTAAATAAGTGAAAATTAATAAATCAGAGAACAGGTTAAGTAAACAAATATATGTAAAAGTGTATATATCTTTAACTTACTGATAGAGGGAGGAGTTAGCATAAATATCAGCAAAATCGACATCCAGTTGAGCCTCAACTGAAGGAGCACTAATCTCCAACATCCATGTGGCAGGGTTAGAACCTTCCTTAATCTTGGGAACACCTAGGACAGCCTGCAGCAAGTCGTAGATGTTATAGTCGATGCTGGGATTTTGAAAATTTAATTGTTTTAAGTATATTCTCCTTGAATTCCCAAGATGATCGAATAGTTGTTGAAGACAGAAAACAGTGTATCACTCCTAACTGTATGGTTTGTTTAATCAATGGAACTTAAAAGGAACAGTAGAAAATCATTTACTCACTTCAAAATATTCTATTAGCTTGTGAGACTGGCGACCTAGAGGCCCAGCATAAATGACTTGGCCTCCCCTCTTCATCAAAAGTAACTGCAACAACCACAATATTTAAGTACAAAAAATGCATGGCAAGGGTATTGAAAAGCGTAGAAATAACAATTTGCTTGAAGAAGATTAATTTACAAATCTTGGTCATACCTCGTCAAAAGCTTCAAATATATCTATACTTGGTTGGTGAATTGTGCACACGACCGTTCTTCCTGTATCTACTGTGTTTCTCACAGTACGCATAACAATGGCAGCTGCTCGAGCATCAAGGCCTGATGTTGGTTCATCCATGAAGATGATAGATGGGTTTGCAACTAACTCTACAGCTATTGTCAGCCTCTTCCTTTGTTCTGTTGAAAGACCGTCTATTCCCGGAAGACCAACTAAAGAGTTTCTTATTGGATTAAGCTCAACCAACTCCATCACTTCTTCAACGAACATCTGAGTTTCAATTCAACCAAATGAAAGTAAGAAATAGAGGATAATAATTTTACATTTTGTACCCATTATAATAGATTTCCATTAGGGGTTCCAACTAATCAAGGTCATACCTTTCTTGTTTTTGTTTTCACATCTGCAGAAAGACGAAGCCAAGCCGAGTAGAGGAGAGATTCATAAACAGTCACATTTGGTGAATGAATATCATTCTGTTCACAGTACCCGCTCACTCGAGCAAATGTTGCCTGGTTCTTTGGGTAACCCGAAATATTAATACTTCCTTCAATGTACCCACCAGTCTTTCTTCCAGCTAACACATCCATCAAGGTGGTCTTTCCAGCACCACTAACACCTACAAGTGCTGTCAGTATCCCTGGTCTAAAAGCACCACTAACATCTCGCAACAGTTGGAGACGATCTTCTTCAACCCCTTGACTTTTCATTTCCTGGAGTACAGCAAATTTAAACTCAATGATCCCTTGATACAAAAAGCAAAAACCGAAAAAAAAAATCATACAAAGATCATCATTCACATGTAATTCTACAACACAAAAAATCCTTAAGTTCATCCCAAAACCTTTTGAAGCCGCTTAATCAAAACAGAATACAGCATTGTTCAAAAGAAGATAAATTCTTGTTCTGATCTTCTGGGGTTCCTTACCGTAGAATAGGAATAGCTGATAAGATATATAGGGATAGAGTTCTATGCTAGTTTAACAAACACTGCAATCGTCTGATTTAATATA